TGGCTGGGAATGGATATGACACAGAAGAGTTTATTGTGTGTCCTTGTCAGGGGACGACTCCCGGGTCCCCATGACCCTCCCCTATGGTCCACAGTCCCAGGTGTAACCAGCCCTGTCCAGGGCACAACCTACTGTGGGTCAGAGATGATATATAGAAGAGAGGCAAGTATATACAACTTGCCTACTGTGGGTCAGAGATGAGAAGGAAGTTAACTTCTCATCTTCCCACAGTGGCCACAATACATCGAAAACTTCCGGAGATATCCGGAAGTCACATGAGACCCGAGACCCGAGGTCCGGGCCCTCCGGCCGCACTGAGCGTCCGGCACAGGGCGCGCGCGGGGAGTGCAACAGCCGGGTGCGGTTGCGGGTGCAGGTGTGGATGCGGGTATGGGCTAGGTCAGGGTGTATGCCCTGACAGTCCTATCAATGGACAGAGGAGAAGAAGAGACAGGAGAAGAGAAAGAAGAGAAACGGAAAGAGGTGGATCGATCTATGGAAGTAGTCAGAGGGGGCAGAGGAGAGAGTGGTACATTGTCAGGGCATGCCCTGCCCGACCCCCACTCCGCACCGCTTCTCCCTCTTCCTTTCTCCTTTCCTCCTTTCTTCCTTTCTTTCTTTCTCTCTCTCTCACATGGACCACCTTTCCCGCTGCTCAACGCATCACTGGCGTGCACACCTATTTCCCCTCCTGTATCTTACCATCCCTACATCGCTGCCACCGCCGCTGCACTCGCCCCGCACCCACAGCGAGCCCTCTCGGGATCTCCTGCAGAGACACCCGGAGAGCCGTGGCTGTGTGCAGGGGTGATGTGGCGCCCCCCACGTGACCGATCCTGCATGTATATAATAACGGCTGGAGTGGGAACCGAAGAAGTAGCCTTCTTCTCATATTCCCACTTCAGGCAAGTAGTGTAGTCTCCCCTTTTAATGATAACTCATATTCCCACTTCAGACTAAGTGGTCGGGGACGCTCACCCTGCGACGGGATCGCCGCTATGCACAGCCGCTATTCGTCCCACCAAGTCCCACATGCAGGGACCTCGCCGCTTTCGGAGCTGTCCCTGACAGCAGAAGAAGGCTTCAACCTCATCTCCCCCGCCTCCCCCGCTATGGTGACCGAAGAGCAGTACAATGAACTGCTGTCCCGATTCCAAGAGCTCCAGGCCATCGTAGAAAGCCAAGCTCAAAACCAGCCCCCAGCTGCGCCTGCACCGGCGCCGCCTCCCGCACCGACACCCGCACCCACCCCCAGACCTAAACCACCTAAAGTCACCCCCCCCACTGCCTTCTCTGGAGCAGCCGAAGACCTTGACCGCTTCAAGGCCAAATGCAGCATATATTTCCATGTCCGAGCAGCGGAATTCCCCAACGCCCTCTCCCAGATCCTTTTCGTCCTGTCCTACATGAAGGGAGGGACTGTGGGGGCATGGGCGACACAGCGCACCATTGCGCTACTGACAACGGGCTCCCCCCGGCTCACCATGGACGAGTTCAACACAGAACTCGATGCCATGTTCCAGGACCCGAACCGCGAGGCCACAGCCAGACAGAAGCTGGCCACTCTGCAGCAGGGCAGCGACTCCGTGGATAAGATCATCCAGAAGTTTGAGATCCTTGGACCCACCTCACGGCTAGGGGACGTGGGGCTAGTAGATCGCTTCGAACAGGCGATCAACTCCCGCCTCCGCGAGAGCATTTACCGCCTCTGCCCCATGCCAACAACCTGGGCTGAGTGGAAACGCGAGGCCACCCTCCTCGACAACCAGTGGCGGTGTTTCCAGGCGACGCAACCCCGCTTAGCCCCCGCCAGGCCCCCACTCCCCACCACTCTCCTGCAGCCACACCCCCCACCTGCCGCCACCACACCCCAGCGCCCCGTGCCCTGCCCCGCAGCAGGAACAGGGCCACAACCCATGGACCTCAACCACTCGAGGATCGACCAGAGGTGAAACAGGCTGTATTACAACTGCGACGCACCAGGGCACATCGCGTGGGATTGCCCGCAACTGAAAACCCGCCGAGCTCGACGGATGCACCCTGAAGACCTCAGAGCACTCATGGAGGGGCTGAGGAGACAGCTGGTGGACGAACCAGAGACAGAGGGAGAAAGACAGGAGGGGGAGGCCCAAGAGGATTTTCAGGATGGCAACCGGTGAGGGACGCGCCCCGGCCACCTGTAGGCGATAGTACTAGCTCATGTAGATACCATGAGGTGCCTAGCCCAGCGCCGACATCTAAATTCCACCGAGTCATCGCCAAGAAGAAGAGGAAAAATGCATCCTCAACCAGCAAGGGGAGAGAAACCCCAGAAACAGCGTCGGAGGTAGCGGTCCTGCCACCCGCCATCTATGTGTTGTCCAAGCACCCCCCCAGATCCCTCAACCTTGCTGTGAAGCTGACCGCCTTAACGTCCCTCGCCAGCATCTCCATGTCGGCGCTCCTAGATTCCGGAGCTACAGGGAACTTCGTGAGCCCCGAGTTCGTCCGAAAACACAGGCTTGAGACGACCCCACTCCCTCAGCCCATCCCTGTCCGCAACGTCGACGGAACCCCGAATGAGAACGGAGCCATAACCGAGGAGCTAGAGGCCCTCTTGACGTTTGGGTGACACACGGAGCGGGCCTGCTTCGCCGTTGCGAACCTTGGGAGGCAGTCCCTCATTATAGGACACTCGTGGCTGCTACACCACAACCCGGAAGTGGACTGGACATGACAGAAAGTCATCATGTCCCGCTGCCCAACATCCTGCTGGTCGATACGAGCGCGAGTCGACTCAAACCCCGCGATAGAGCCCGGGGATGGAATCTACGCCGCTATCATTCCCCTGGGGTGGGGACATGAGCTAAGAGCGACCACGACCCCGTCACAGCGGATGGCCCAGGAGGCCCACAAGCCAGAGGCAGAACCCGCACAGTTCGAGGCACTGGTGCCAGAGCAGTACCAAGACTTCCGAGATGTATTCTCGAAGGAAGCCTTCAACCAGCTACCTCTGCAGAAGCCTTGGGACCACACGATAGACCTGGCACCAGAGGCCAAACTCCCGAGAGGGAGGACCTTCCCCCTGTCAAGGCCAGAACAGAAGGAACTAGACAAGTTCCTCCACGAAAACCTGCGGAACGGACGCATACGGCCATCCAAGTCCCCGATGGGGGCACCAGTCTTCTTCGTCAAGAAGAAGGATGGGTCGTTATGCCTGGTCCAAGACTACCGCAAGCTCAACGAGATCACAGTGAACTCATACCCCCTCCCCCTCATCTCGGATGTCCTTGCGCGCCTCCGAAACGCCAAGTACTTCTTGGTGCTAGACCTCCACTGGGGGTTCAATAACGTCTGCATCAAAGATGGCGATGAATGGAAAGCGGCATTCTTGACCAACCGGGGGCTGTTCGAGCCTACCGTCATGTTCTTTGGCCTATGCAACTCCCCAGCAACATTCCAGACCATGATGAACGACATACTCCGAGACTTCATCGACCAGGAGGTTGTCATCTGTTACATGGACGACATCCTGATCTTCACTGCTACCCTGGAAGAACACCGGAAGGTTGTCCACGAGGTTTTGGAAATGCTGTGAAGAAGAAAGCTCTTCTTGAAGCCGGAGAAGTGCAAGTTCGAGCGGACCCGAATCGAATACCTCGGCCTCATCATCGCCGAGGGCAGCGTCGCGATGGATCCCGTGAAGATCCGCGGAGTCCTCGACTGGCCGACCCCAACTAAGGTCAAAGAGGTGCAGTCCTTCCTGGGGTTCGTCAACTTCTACCGCCGGTTCATCAAGGATTTCTCGGAGATAGCCCGCCCCCTCCATGCATTAACCCGCAAGACAAAGACTTAGGCTGGAGCATCACACTCAGGTAATCCTTGCCCTTTTATGTCTATCTAACTATGTAACAAAGCAGACAACAACCGTGAAACTAGTGCCTCTGACGCTTTGTGCGACTAAGGGTTTCACTACCTGAGACCAACATAAGGAACATTCTCTGATTCCCAGAAAAGTTGCTACTAAGTACTAATGTACGTCCTACGTTGTGTAATCTCTCATTTTGACTTACTGTGAATGCAAACGTAGCTTCTCTACGCTGCTCTTTACAACATCTCTTGTATGGTGACTAGTGTTTGTGATCACACTGCGACATCGTGCAACCATTTGTGAGGTGGGAGTAGCGGGTAATGCCGCCTCAGGCAGCGTCCACCTGTTATTTTCTCTATTGTTACTGCGTGCGTTTGGGAACCATGCTAGTGTTTTGCCCCAATTCACACGCAACCCTGGCCTTCGTTCAGTTGTCCCTGTCCTGCCAGTGTGAGGACCGGAAGGATCAAGCAAACAGCATCCGCTCTCCGGATTGTGCCTCCTCCAGACTTTCAATACAGTTTGGATTGGGTTATCGGGAGAAGAGTCATGGTGAGATGACGATACTCCTGGTGTGAACTTGCTCATGATGGTGCGTGCGTGGTATGCCATCGGTGGCAGGTGCTACGTCCACACAGTTGTATATCTTGGCTTCTGTTGTTCCATTTCCCATTTTCATGCTGAACCCGGCGCCCACCTCCCTTTCTCACCTACGCGACTCACCAATCACTACTACGCACCTTTCCTTCACATCGGTCGGATTCCCGGCGATGATTAATCGCTCGCTTTGTCGCCCTTACCGGGCGCAAACTACGGTACATATGGGTCACTTGTATGGACGGGAGTCCGTTCCCGCTTATTAGCGTCCAAGTAATACCATCGCTCTATACAGCTCAGTTTTGATACCCTGGGGACTGACATTTAAGCTGGCATCTACATTGGCTTCTCACTTATAATTCCTGACACCAGTTAAATGCAGATGACTAGCCTTGATGCCGAGAAGGATTTTTCTGCAAGTGCCGGGCATGCCCAGAGTGAGAAGGTACAGTAGTCGAAGCAAGTGCTATTCTCTGTAGTTGAAGCTATATACATGCCTCATTTCACGTGTCCTGAACTTAAGACAACCCAATCTCGGGGAGATTGGCCAGATTTACTTTCGCACAAGCGCGCCCCGAGTCTGACGCATCGAATCAGCAATACTAAGGAACATTTGTGCCAGTTGAATCTATACAAGCTGGTCAAGTTTGCAGCATGGGAACAGGGATACGCTACGCACCGAATCATTAGCATAATATGATCCACACGGGGTATCACACGGGGTATCGCGCGATGCTCCTGGTGATGCTCTCCTGTAAATATTTGTTGCAAGGGTCGTCATGGAATCAAGAACAGGAGAGTAGGATCTAGCTGCAAACGAAACAGTGAAGAATGACAAGGGCTGCCTGTGGTGGAGATCAAATCATTGACGGGAAACCCAAAGTCACCTTGTACTGACCCCAACCAAACAGCCCTATCACAGATCTCGCGAAGGTCTTGCAACGGTGAGTGGGCTTCGCCGTCAGACAGGAAGATAACGCATGGAATTCTGACATGAAATGAGTACCGCAGATCAACATTTGACAACAACTCGAACCTGTCCACACTCCAATTGTCTTCCATGACACTCTGGGCTTCTCTGATGGCAGCACCGAAGTCTGTTCCTCTACCCAGCCTAACATTCAGGAGAGGTACCAGAAGCGCATCAGCATCTCGCGTGAGATCGTTGGCAATCACTGTCTGTATGCGAATTTTCAACATAATCCGAGTAGCAATGTAGTCCGGGAGGACTCACAACAGCGGTTGAGTCAAATACGACTACTGAATATGTATCGCGCCGAATACCGTCCGGTGAGGCACTCGCGCGAGCCGTCCAGAAACTGTAAACAGCAGATAGCACGGCGCCATATCTATTATTGTTGGAATGGGTGATCTGGCGAGTCGCTGCCTGTCCCGCAAGTGGAAGTCGGTCCTGATGGCTCATGGAACTCGATCGGTCCAACACGAATATCCTAACGATGCGACCAAGTCAGCCCATAAAGACAGTAATGTTGCGAAAGAGCTTCCCGTACACATGGTAAGGGGTGTGGTGGAGTCCCGGGTTCTCGCAATCGAAGGAATGACCGTCCCGAGAGATATATCCCGTAGTACTCTGAGTATTTGGAGAAATGGGCTTATGGAACATAGAAAGGGTACAAAAAGAACGTTGTGCCTTTATATTCCCGGTGGCCTTGTGTTCGTCACCTACGTGTGTGATGAGGTAAGCTGCGTTTCCTCCATCCACCAACTGCGATTTAGGGACGAACCATTGCATTCTGAATCACTAAGGCAGATGTGAGATCATGAAGTAAGCGGTGATTAATGACATACCACCTGGAGAAATCATCTTGGAGATCCTGAGAATAAGGATCTACGGGTCATATCAGAGACCGGAATTTTTGCGCACTGATTCATGGATAGCCACCTCGGAAACCTATGTTATTAGGTTGAGGCTCAGGAATGAAAGATATCGGCAAGCTGATTTATCAGATACCTGTTCGTGCCCAATAAGAAGCATGTGTAACCCAGTCCTTAGCCCTGCTAGGTTTCGGATTCATTCTTGTGGTGATATGCTCCACTGTATCGTCAGCACAATGTTCGCCTTCAGGGGCACGACAGAAGTCAATGTGTACGTGCCGACCCAGCTCCTTGCAGAACATGTTGCAGTACATCGGCGCACCAGAGTCACCTGTGCTGAACTTTCGGCCTGCAATCTCTCGAGTGGTAGAATCATCTCCCTCAAAACTCCAAGAGGTCTGTTCCATGTTACCATGCGTAGTGCTATGCAACCCATGATGATCTTCGAATCCTGAAAGTTAGCCCGAACTTCTGGCTAGGGTCAATCTTAGGGACATACTGATAGCGAGGTTACAGAAATAAAGGCAAAAGGGGCAACGAGTTTCACAAAAATGGAACGCAACCGGATTGGTCGTATGCGCGTGCGCCCCATCATGCTTCAATTTATTCGGGGGGATACCTACAACACATGGGAGCTTGTTCGCGACTTGGGTGTACTACGAAAATTGTCGAGAATCGGAATACGGCTCGGCCAATTCAAGCACATACCTTCGTGTATTGGAAAGTCTCGTTGCGGCCGACGAATGTAGTCTCGATAGAGCGGGGAGCAGAGTCTATTCTACATATTCCCCGTGATCCGCAAGGCTCTTTGCAATGATGTTCTTGCCTTGATACACCAATTAGTCCACAATCGTGATTTCAAGCGAGGTTAACGAACCCGCAGAGGTGGATTGCACCGTGCTGAAGTGGGTGAGAGTGTGATGTAATGGAACACAGTCGACTGCACAATCGGCATTTAGCTGGACATGTCAGCCTATTTTCACACTCGTGTGTATCGTGGGAATCGCGGCTACAGGGTTATCAGCAATGCCAGGGGCACCATGGCTCATGAAATTCCACACCAATCAATTGCACACGGCTTCATGCATAAGGGCGCGCCATCTTGCTCAATCAAACTGAGACGACAAGGCTTGCCGCAGGAGTGGGTGCGAGCAGAGCATAGGTGGATCGCATCCTTGTGTCCAATTGGCCAGTGGCAATGGTATATAATCAATTCCCTTGCACGTCAGCTTATGCGGTGATACTTGCTTTTGTACAAGCCCGTAGACATCCTCTCTTATTTTTCAGGTAGCAGGGCCTGCCGCACACATGCCGAGTCAAGTCACATCTTTATGCCAATCAGCCGCTATACCGTTTAATAAGATGTTTGAAGTACACACATATGGTTCCCATCGTGACCAGCTCTATTAATAATGGTCAAGAAGGAACAGGGCCAGAGAGTAGTGCCGACTCACATCATGCCGCATAATTTCTCCTGGGGCTTGGAGCCGCATTCATCACACTTCAAGGCACAGCAGTGGTCAGTGGTGCAATCGTGGTCATTCATGTGGTACTTGGATAGGATGCACTTGAGGTTGCAATTTTGGCATTTGACTCCGCACATATCTACGCCTTCAATAAGTTCCAGGGAAAGTTGACTGAAACAGCGACGAAGCAGTTGAATATCTGTTTGTTCAGGAGGGAACCTGGTTGTGTTTGAGTAGATCCATTTCTCGACATACTCAATCCGTTGCTTTGCTTCTTGGTGCAAGGCCATCGCAAGCGACGAAAACCATTCCAAATCCAGCATGTTCTGGCGTGTGCCAGAGATGGTAGCGATACACCGTTGCTGCACTTTAACCAAAAGTTCATCTCTGATCTTGGGTTCCTTCATGACTGATTTGAGGAAAAGGTGGTTTCTGGAGGACGTTTCAGGTTGGATTGCTTCATCGGTATCCAAGTTCTGTCGGATCAGCTTAGTAATATGAGCCACTATATTCTAATTCCCCCGACCTTGAGATAGCTTCCCTCATTCCCATACTCCGTGACACCATATGCGAGGGCGGATGGCAAAAGATTTTGAAGAAGCTGCGCGCGGTGCGAAGCGAGGGCATCTAGACATTGGTCAAGCAGAGAATTGCAATTCGTCCAGGAGGGACATACGATCAAGGGCTCCCCAATCGCTCGCCTCAAAGTTAAATCTTTAACGAGACTGACGACAGGGGGAGAATTACAACTACCAACCTTTAACTTTGCCATTAAGAACTTCATCCGTTCCAGGAATACGGACGCAGTTCCATGAGATGGATCTTGGGCATCTAGACGTTTCTTCAGCTTGTTCATCAAGGTATAAAACATCGAAGACTGAATAACAGGCCATGGAAGAATATCAACTGTGCCACGGTGCAACCTAGAAATGAAATTCCCTTCTTTCTCTTCTTGAACCATTTTCTGGAACTTCAACCGGAACCTTAGTCCCCCGCCAATAATGGTTAGAAGGCCACTTATTTGGGATTGGGCTGTAATACGCCAAATTGACTCACTCTTGGACAACTTCTTTCGTATCGGATTCGACAACATCCTGGCGGCGTTCAAATGAGTGACAGACGAAACGAGAGGCGAAATATTTACTTTGATTATAATTGCCAAAGTCGACCGGAAGAGTTCGGGGTTTGCAGACGGTTCAAACTGCGCCGCAGATGATTGAAAGCTCTGAAGCAAGTGGGCAAGTGGGGCGGGAAAGACAAACCAGCAATCTTACCGTGAATAGTTCTAGGGGTGCAACGGCACTGCTCTGTCATTTGCGATAACGAAATGTATGAACGAACATACCAGCAACATCCCGCGAGAGAGCAAAATTATTCCGGAACAACACCTTAAGAGCACCAATCAGTAAGAATGTCTCGAGGCAGGATTAGAAGCAGATCGGTCACCAAGTTGGAAAGCGCCACATTAAACAAGACTAATAGCATGTCCTCCTGCGACGTCCTTTCGATGGAATGTATTCCTACAGACGATTCGTTAATAATGACATCATTTTAACCTAAGGTCCTTGCACAGACGCACCTTCGAAATCAAGACTTACGATCAAATCTGCATCGGTTGGCGTCACGGACAACCACACGCCCTCTGTGCACCTCATTGCAGATCCAGCGAATGACGTATCCACAAAGTGATTCAGGGCATAACTCTTCCCCACGGATTGCTCGCCTAAAGGAGAGGCATCACCAGAGATGTCCGATCAGCGGAGAATTTGATAGATCATACCCATAGAAGAGACGACTTTTACAGGCTGACGCACGCAACGTTCGGATCATGGACGATCAATGCGCAAGAAAGAGTCGGGCGCACCTTCGAAGCCATGTAGGACCCAAACATACTCTCATACCATCCGATGGAGATACTGCAACAAACTTGTTAGGCAAGAGCTGCATAATCGCAAAGAAACAGACCTATCAGCAATCGTTAATATATCGGCACCCAGCAGCTGCTGCTCAAACTCAGGGGATGAGATGCCGTCCTTGAGTGGCGTGAAACGGTTCGACGTGACAACGGCTATGTGAATCGGTATTAAGCATATGAGGTCGACAATCCACCTTCCGGTGAAATATGTAGTGATTTCCGAAGAAATGGACTGGCGCAAGGATGAGCTTGTGCTGTGCTGAATGTCAATGGAACCTAATCTGCCGTCCGTTGGCTTTCGCGTTTTATGCTCGAATGACCGGATCATCCGTAAAAAGTAAGATCGTAGTCGAGCAATGGGAATCGGGTGATCCCCTGCAGTAAAGGTGAGAGAAGGCGAGTGACGAGCCGTCGATGAAAGGCTTCTCCTTATCGTAGATGCAACAGGGAACTTGGTCCATACTTCGGAATGACAGTCAATGAGTGAATTGCAAGTTGATTCTCCTTTTGAACCAGCCCTAGCTTCTCCATGGGCACGGAAAGTGAACTCGCTAGCCTTGTTGGTGATCTCTAATCGGACTCCACTAAGCTGTCGTGAGTCATCCTCGATCGCCATTAGGTAAGCGTTCCTTCGTGCGACAAATGATGTGATTGTCGTCGGAACCGATGCAAAGGCCTGAGGGAGTTGAAGTAGAATTCCTTGGGGTTTACAGCCAAATGATGCCGTATGATAAGATACGGTTTGCACCACGTTCGAACTATTTGGTGCTGTAATAAACAGACACGAGCCATCCGGACTAGAACAGACGCCTGTCGGAGGTGATTCCAATTTCAGAAATGCCGGTCTGTTGCAATGCAGTTAGTGAACTGATCGACTCATATCAGGGGGAGAGACTACTTGAACTGTTCCTGCACGACAGAATATATCCTCGCGTGTCCTGAGCTCTCGATAAGGAGTATTTCATCCAAACTACTTATGAAACACATTTTCGAAAATTTGGTCTCAGCATCGGAGCCCATCCGTAATCGTCCAAGGTCAACCGGAGAGCCACGCAAATTGAGACTCGTGTATGACTCGTCGATCGCATAAACGTGGAGGCGATACTTGGCCTGTCGTGTCGTGTCGTGTCAAGTCAGCATTCAGCGTGACCGAGATGCACCGTAACGACGACCCACATCCAATAGTGCCACTGATCTTCTTGGCTCATTAACAGAAAACAAGAAATCCTTTCCCATTCGTTCAGAAGAAAACTCTTTCTTGGGCCTTCGAGAACCTAACATGACGGGTATTTGAACATCGTCGTCAAGATAGATACAGATTTTGCGGTCTAGGGAGTCCTCCACGACTACTAGACATTTTGAGCGCTCCAGAAGCTGAATATGCCTAAAGTGATCTCAATACCCGGTCACAGACAAAAAAAATTGCACCCACCACAATCTTGACGTAGCCGGTATGGCGAACTGGATGGAGTGCGCTCCTATATGGAGGCGCGGCACAATCGAAGCATCCATAGTAAGACGTTGGACGTCTTCAGACATTAATCCAAGTGGTTGTAACGTGTACATGAAATGGGCAGGCTCGTCTTTCAGCTCCGAGACAGTGAATATGAAACCTTGGAGCCAATAAAGGGCATGCAGGCGTTCGGTCAACTAATCGGAGTCACCATACTCTTCGTTTTACGTACCGCTGTATCTGTAGTAACTGCTATCAGGAACGATGTTGTGGATGCACAGTTGGCAGTCTCTGCGAAGACCCATTAGTCATGGGTGACGGTAGGGACGAGACGCAAACACGCACTTCATCCCCTCCATCTTACTTGCATGGTTTATTCGAGCTTTCAGTTGCGATAGATGCTGATTTTTTTGTTCTTGGGACTTGACTCGATTTTTTGCTTCCAATTCAGTTCTCCAACGTCTGTAATATATCTCCGACTCCGACTTAGCTAGGTCCTGAGACCAGGAGGCCAACACGCCCAAAAGCCACTCTAGTGCCTGATTGCGAACCTTGGTCACGGCGTCATGGAGCGTACGGCTATAATCACTGTCGCTGATGTGTTGGATGAATACAGAATCACTCATCGGTGGTGCCTCGCGAAGGAGGGCTCTAATAAACGGGTCGGGTTCATCCTGCGCTTTTGATGAGCCAACAAACCATCCAAATCCCAAAGTAAGGTTGGAGTAAATGTTCGCTGGCGAAAGTGCACTGCCCCTGGGCGGTGACCTTGTTCCATGAAGAATAGTAGCGATCACCTTGTTCCAGTTGGATCCCCCGGTCACGATAGCAGCATCGAGTTCGTCGGGAGTGGCTTCTGGCACGGAGCCCCTGGCCGCACGAGATTTCAGAGCCTCGATGGAGATTATGAAGCGACGTTTAATATCTTGGAAGCCGGGGGCTACAATGGAATGAAGTTTGAGTCGACGAAAGGCACCACCCACTAGGGGTATTAGCTGGTGTATAACAACCCCTTCAGGGCCTGTGATAAAAGTAAGAGAAGTGGTCGGATGCACTGGTTAATGTTCAATGGAGCAACCGAACGACGAGCAATTGTCACCTTGATACGCGGTGTCCTCTATGTGTGATGCTAGATCCGATTTAAACGTACTGTTCTCAACGAGGTCAAGGGGCAGTCATACTATTGCAAAATTCCACTCCTTACGGGTACAGATCCACCAAATGCTGCACAAGCTGATTCGATATATGACGCTGCAGTCTCGGTATATCTTCAGCGAGGTTCTCTTTGCCTCTGGCACAAAGCGACTCAAACTCCTGACCGAGCATGTGTCTTTCGCGCTTATCGCTTCTTTCGAAGTCTTCACAAAGGGCCTTGAAACGCTCGTTCAACCCGTTCTCAATGAGAATCACAAGTGCCGCAGGATGAAGATCGTCCGCTAACTGGATGGACTGGCGACGGTTTCTGAGGAGGCATTTCAAGTCAGCGTGTGGTCGCAAGTAGGGGTGATAAGGCATACTTAAGCTCTGTCCGAAGGGCAATTCCATTGATGACTCTGGTAGTGCTCTTTGGGGTACTTCGTTGAGGGATATACTCTGTTACTAGCAAGCCTTGGCGCGTATCTCCTGGCACCACTCGTGGTTTCAATACATCGCCTAATCCTTCAACGTTATGATGATCTGGATCCGCTCTAGAGGGAAAAGCGGATTGGATAGGAAACTGGTTCGAACGAGTGAGTGGACAAGGCAGGGGCCTGGTTATGTATCGTCAGACCTTGAATCCTGCATGCACAGTCACATTTTCTTCTTGCTCCACGGTTTTCTCGACGGTAAACGAGAAAACCCGGTCATCATCATTCTCATCTGAGCTAAAGCCTTCCCCTTCAGCGATATTCGATCCCATCGCGGCGTCATCATCCCATACAATGCTCTCCATGTGCTCTTTGGAAAGAAGAGCGACTATCTGGTTGCTCAGCCGGCCTAAGTAACTGAGGCAACCATGTGAGCTCGGAAATTCAGTCTGATACGGGCAGCTTGGGACTTACTGCATGAAAGTCGCGCGATTCCTACAAATGTCTCCTGTTGCGTTATCATTCCAGGTATTCTCCTCCGGCCAATAGAGAAGGAAGGCGGGCTGCATGAAACCTGTATCGAGACCCATAGAACCCTCCTTCCGTTGGGTATGGTCATCAAGGATTAGATATATTCCCGTTCCTAAATGAGGGCCTGAAGGGACGCCACTGGCAGGCAATGGCGTCAGAAGATCCCTGGCACTAATAATCGGAAAAGCAGGGGAAACCCATTATGGTTAATGAGGGAATGGGTAGGTGGTTAACTTGAACGTACGTAGCTGCATCGATGGCATTTACTTCTTCGAGGAACTCAATTATACGAGACCTGCTGCCATAAATTCCGACGGGCTTGAGTAGCACTTCATCGAGCGCAGCGAAATCGATCTTTGGGGAGTGTTATGTTGTGTGGTGAAAGTGAACTGACTACTTACTTTTGTCATCGATTCAAAGGCTCCAGGACGGAGAACATCCATCAGGTTTCGAAGGGAATCCGGAGGGATGACGACTTTATCGACATGTCCGTTGCTTCCCTGTTCGGTGCGAAGCGCTAACAAGCGATACGCATTCTTGATTCGAAGGAGTAAGTCCTCTCCCGACCGCGGATTAGCTTGTGACGACATCGATGAAAGCCGGCCACGAGTGGAGGCGATACTTGATCCTTTGTCAAAAGACTACAGAGCGATGGTGCTTGCAGACAGATCGTCAGTTATGAGGGAGTAAGAGTAGGGCGCTGGGTTGAGTGGTTATCTTCTATACTAGTCGAGACGCGCGCGGCTTGATTAATAGGGGTAGCAAATGCATTCAACAATTAATATCACACGCGCAAACGCGGGGCAGGTGACCAGCCGCAGCTACAGCGCCTCGACAACGATAAGGGTGGTGATCCGCATCCCCAGTCCCTGAATGGGCCAGACGTCGCTCCAGCGAACTGACACTGACACCCCTGAAAGGATTGCATTACTACATATATCTGCTCCAAAAATCCCTCCGTAACTCCCCATGGGGGGTCTGAGCGGGGCCACGCCATTGTCGTTAAGCGCGAGTTGGCCACAGACAAACAACGAACATGTACATATGACACGCTGAATTGCCACGGTGAGTCATATCATGTTGGCGTAAGCAAAACGGTTTTTCACACGTGGGTTAGAGTAACGTTAACACACAGCATCGAGAGGAGTCCTGCCTACGAGTCCTCTGTACTTCACAGAATTGGTAACGTTAGAGCTAGAAGGGGGGGGTAAATCGTCCCATCCACATGGGTATAGCAAGGCTGATTGGACTGTTCTAGGCTTGTGAAATGTGTTTTCTCCAAACATCATGGTGTTGGCCGAATTGTATTGTCTTCATCGCGTTTTAGGCGGCGCGTCAGCAGCGCACGTGGCTGCCGATGTTTGGCTCAGCTTACCAATATTATATCGCCAAAAGTGGCGACTACATTCGTTTCATGCGGAAGTAAGTAAAAACGTCTTACCAAGATGCGGCTATTTACGAATTAGGGTGCGTAGGATGAGCCCGCTGATATTATAGTAGTCCTACGGTAGAGGCTCGCGGATGCCTGGCTACCATATGCATGCATGGGGCCGACTTCTTTTCCAATGGGGACATTTGCGGCGTTCGAACTGGCTTGTTATCCGATTTCCCTCCGATTTTTAACCAATATGAAGGGGGAGGGGGGGGGTCCTCGATCGGCCAGTTGCAACGTCGACATACTTACTCCGCCAATTTCTCACCCAGAAATCATGCGTACAACATATATTCTCGATGGATATTTGGGGTAGTGATGGCATGGCATGGCATGGAAGCGATACCCACCCATGCAACGAATTAGAAGCCCGTCATAGAGGCTGTGGAAGTCCTGAGCGACCACTATAATTTTTTCCTAATTAATCAATTAGGGGGATCACACTCTCATCCAAACCCGCGCCGATTTCTTCTTTGTTTCTGGTCTCTTGTTTGTTTGTAACTGTGGCTTCGACAATGCGGCGCTTCCCCCTCTCTCTGCTATGTAAGCGGATCGAGTACATATACATCTTTAAAAACCACTTCTAAGCACGCACTGATTTTTCTCACTTCTCACTATCACAGACACCCCCCCCCCCCCCCAACACACACAATGATCGAGTACACCTTCTCCAACACCAGCCTACGAAACACTCGAATCTACGCACCAAACGGTTCGATAGCTTACACCATCACTTCGGAGAGTCATTTCTTCCGTGCGGACAACACCACCGTCTCGCGTGTGATCGATGGTCAATCTATCGAGATCGTCAAGTTCGAATGGCATGATACGACCAAGAGAGATGTGATGAAGACCTCGGGGAATGGGGGGACGACGGTCAAAGTTAAGGATTATCTACCGAAAAAGGGGATGTTTTCATCGTCAGTACTAGTTTTTTCTGACTAGTTTTGTGTTTTTAATACTTTGATATAATATCAAATAGTTCAAGGCTATTTTCGACCCCCAATGGTCAGTGGAAATGGAAATCCAAAGGACCTATTGTGCGTCGATGGCATTGGCGCAACCTCCTTCCGTGAATATATAAATCATGCGACTTCCCCCCTTTTGTTTTAGGTATACGATCCACATGGGAGCGCTTTGGCGCGTTACCAGAAGAACAAACGTCTCTTTGGTTCAAATAAATCTGCAACCGGTGCTCCAGCCTCACTTATCATCTCATCCCCAGACGCCTCTCAGCGTTTGGACGATATCGTTTTTGGACTTCTCATCATGCACAAGGATAAACAGAGACAAGACAAGGAAGCATCAGAAGTACCGGTCGGTTAAAGCTAGGGGGCCGGGCCGGGAGTTATACATAGGTATAGGCGCAGAGCGCGAAACGGCCAGCAAAACGGTGCATTGCATGCGGGGGTTAGCCTTATTTGTAGAATTTGGACTTACGCTCCCCCATGATGTTTTTTTTTTGGTCGGTCAAAATTGGGCTTTCGCCGACACTTGACATTCCAATATGTGTGGCTAGGCGCCAAGCTAGAGAGAGTTCTTTTCGGAAACTGGGGTATATAACGGACTACTTTCTGTGGCCGTTAATGCATGCGTCTTTCTTCGTGCGAGTATAATATCATACAGGCGTCAAACTTCGTGTGGAGGGTGAACAACAGATCTTGGATTATATCAACGGATCCAGAGTTTTATATTTTACCCGTACGTCATTGACCAGCCAGCTGCGTGGCCTGAGGAGATCAACTACCTGCGTCGTCATATACCAGGTCATCGCCTCTCATTTCGACTATGCAATGATGATAAGATGGAGAGCGGCTCGCAGCATGCATGCATGCACTTCAATAACTGACCTTTCTGTATTACTTAATCGCGAGATTCGACACAACGCATCCAACCCTCGAGATCTTCCAAATCCGGTTTAGTTTTCATTACAGAAACGTTGGTAAATTTTAAAAAAAAAAACAAAAACAAAAACGAAAAAAAAAACCTAGATCGCTTTAGAGATGTAAGAATCCTCAGAGTGCACGAAGTTGGAATCGATAATATTCGTATACGTACGTAAAAACAGGAAGAATGATCATCATGTAGCGCCGCTGCATTATGATCAAAAGGAAGAAAGAATCCTGCGCGCGCGCGCGCGCTGAACACATGCAAGCTAGTACGTATCCCTGATAGAAGATCGATCGATCCTGAGCAAAAAGCGCCACTCCTATATTATGCATCCAGATCCCTTCCCCCAGCCTACTCTGCGATGTGGTCACCACTGAGCCGATCATTAGGTCCAGTCGAGGAGGGGGGGGACGCGAGCACACTGGGGCGGAAGTTGAAGTACTGATCACGATCACGAATTTCAACAAACAACAATCGTTAGGGATCAATACGATTGAGTTTGCGCCACTTGGCAGCATTCTCATTCGCACTACCTTCCCAACTCGTACCCTCCATCACCGATGCTCTCCAATTGGGTTGTTCCGCAAAGGACTTTTTCAGTGCTTCGAGTGCGGAAGGATCTGCGAACGGGTTGGTTGGAATGAACACCTTTCCAGAGCCCGCTTCATTGGTATTGCTCGGACCTTGATTGTAGCCATCGCCGCCACGACCGCGACCACGACCACGACTACGGGCGCGACTACGATGACTACGACTACGGGCACGACCGCGATGACCGCGACCATCGGGACCACGACGACGACGACGACTATGACCACGATTGCCACCCTCATCAATCCAATGCACCCAAGAGATAGGTAGAGGGATAGCTCGATCCTCGTACAGTGGCCAGTGACCACGCACCCGCATTTCATGAAAAAGAAATGCACCGTGAAATGGCAATCGATCGTCGTATTCGGGGAGATTTATCGCTCGGCCATGATAGACTTCCAACTCCTCCGATTGAGAGTGGTTAATAAAAACGAAGCGCCTTCGCTACAGTAAGAAGTAGGGGGGAGGAGGAGGGGGTAAGAATAGACGGTGGGCTTCAGAGAACTAGAAAAAACTAACCTCAGGGATCCAGCGTATATAAAAGCAATGCGTATCAAAGTAGGCACGGTGGGTCGCGCAAAGCCGGATACCGTTTCGCGCCTCATGCATCACACTCTTTGCTGCTGCTGGCACGAAACCAGAGTCCTTCATTGCCTGCCACTTTGTCGTTGTTGTTACCCAATGATCAGTTTTCTGGTACGGTTTAAAAAAAAAAAAGAAACAGTAATTCATAACGCACTGTGTCGCATTCTACCCTCGGGATTATGTGACAATAATACAAACTTCGTGGTTGGGAAAAACCACAAATGACACACAAGTCCGCACCCCGTGTCTGAATCCCGCTTTTGAAGGCTTCCGTTCCTGATATAGTAGAGATGGTGTGGTCCGAATATTGGAACGGATTACCATCTAACAGGTTGAACGGACTTGGAGTCCACTCCATGTGTGTGGAATAGACGAATAGACAGGTTGAAAGGTTCGACGTTGGTGAGGTGGCTATGCAAATCCTCAACCTCAAACTTCCCAGTAATGTTCAATATCTATCTACGCCCAAACACCGTACGTTTGTATGTAACCAAGCGCTGACAGAATTGTCCAAGAACACGGAGCTTGGTTGGTACATATTACCGTAGATTCTGGGATTGCATTGGTGAACGTACAAGTGATCGATCGATAGCTCACGATCTCACTATCGGTAAGTTGCCCAGGAAGCTTCAATTCAATTGAGAGTCGATATAGTAGGGGGCCGTCGTTTCTCCACCGGTCAGTAATGCCAGCCTTTAAAAGTTCCCGCTAACGCACGGCTCGAAATTCCCTCAAACGCTGATTTCTAGAGCCTGAACCTATACTACCAAAGGCTAGTGACCTATATCTGACAAGTCGTGCAGGCTGAAGGGGGGGGAACGGTGACGTAGCAGTATGGGGGGTGGTCCGCAATCAGGTTATCGCGGCTCTGCCTGACGTTGGATCCACTCGAGACAACGGTCTTGGCGTGAATTTTCCTCTTCCTCACTCCACATTCCCGGCCATCTCTTCCCCTTCCCCCCTCGTCCTCTTCTGTCGTTGTTTCCGCTTCTGCCATCAACACGCATGTCGCAGAACAGTAACGACGCAAACTTGCCATGACATTCTCCCGCATTAAGTGGCCCGATATACTCACCTCTTCCTGTCATCCGTGGGGCTCCTCCATTAACGTTCGTAGGTTGCGGATGACACCCCTGAATGGCGTTTGAAAGCGGACACCGAAACATCTGCACTAACTGCCCTTTGAGATCTCCGCCATCGGTTGCTAGATCCTCCAGCGTCGCCAACCAAAGCAGGCTCTCGGCCAAGAGCGGTATAACCACCTGAAATGGCACTCAGCATGTTTGCATCAGAGACTAATTAACAGCATTGCGGGTTTTCTGTAAACACGCCTGGCTTGAGGAATCGCACGAAGCATTGGTCATCGTTGATTTATCGATAATTCTGGTCAAAAGCGTCACGGCCAGCGCACCGTGGAAAGAGCTTAATTCCTCATTCAGGTCGTCGAACTCGAATCTGTCAAGAAACTTGTTGCAACATCACAGAGTCGTTCACACGAACCGACGATTGTCAGAGATTATATCAGCTTGTGGATGTCGTGCTCTCCCGGATCTTAAATCTATATACATACTTGATGGATCCTGGGGCGAGATCGATGCCTACGACCTGATGTGCGGCGTGCCCCAGCAAATGACGGTTCATCAGTTTGTATTAACATTTGTGGGAAATACAGTAGCCTCTGCGTGAGGGAATTTCTGCGGAAGTTCGAAGAACGAGTGTGTTCGACATTGAACAAACTCATACACAAACGGCGTTCACATGGATAATGAAGTGCATGTACATACCTTCGCCATTTCAATCGCCCTTACAAGAATCGCATCGGTTAGCATCGGATTACCCAGCGGTTAGTGTAATACAACTAACCATTCTCCACCTCCGCATCTTTCTCAGCACTACTGTTCCGGGAGTAACAGATATATAATAGATCGACTTACCACAATCCAAAATCCGTTTCTCCTCGCCTTCTTCGGCTGCGAGAACGTGATCGACAGTTGTAGTGGCCTGGTACAGGCCACCCAAGCAGAGCCTTAGGACCGTCTGAAGCTCCGCGCTGTGCCAGGGAATGTGAGATTGGGGATTGGGACAGAGCGTGAACTTACGATCTTTCCCACTCTTCGACATCTACATTTAATTTATTAGATATCCTCCCACTCTGTTCCATAAAAAAATCTCCCTAATTTCCCTCCGATGCATAGGAATGTACAGAGCACTCTTCTTCCGACCTAACCTCGCCGCTGTGGTCGGAGGTGTTACGATGTGGTGCGGGGAGGTCCATGCCCTCTTATCATCTATTCTCCCATTCCTCAACATCTACCATGAAGGAAAACGTCAGTAAGAATGCGAGTCTATTTGCTTTGGGGCTTTACGGACGCACCGGCCGGGAGAGGATCGATGGGAATTAATCTATTAAATGTCATCCCACTCTGTTCCACAAAAAATCTTCTCTCCGATGCGTAGGAATAAATGGAGCGCTCTCTTGCCCTTCTTCCGACGCTATGGACACAAGTGTTACGTTGTGCCAATACGGGGATGACCATGGAGATTATCGATCCTTGCACGGATCTCTGGGTCGCTTCAAAGCTCCCCGTCCTCGTCGTTCATGGGGTGTTAGAAAGAGGAAACCAAAAAAAAGATCGATATTTGGGCGATCGGTTTTGTAACCCGATTACCAGCCATCCCGACCGCACCCTTATCTGATTTATCATGCATTGTCGATCCTTCGGTTGTACTCAGTCCCTAGGGATAAATATAACCGCACTGCCACGTATCAGATAGAGTTCAACAACAACCTAGTTCCGCCAGGATGACCCTCCCATGTGCAGCATCACGTACGACCCTCTCATTCGCAGCATGGGCACTACGAGTTTCAAGTCCCATTTTGGCGGCATGACCGCCAACCTATCTTGGTCTGAGTCGCAGGGCAAGTGAAGATGTCTTGTTATCATCTTGGTCTTTTGGGCCCAGTATAGCACACGGCTGTCGCGACAGAAATGATCACTCGTGCCTTTTGCTCCGCCCACGAATTCGACAAACTAAATCACTTTAGCGTATGAGTATATGCATTGTGTGCGCTTCCGCCGTCGCCCATGAACCGATCGCAGCGAAAGCGTCCACTCTCTCTCTCCCTCACCCTTGGATTGCAGGTGGTCCTTATCGAATTATTCATTCCGATATCTGGCCTGTTCCGTCCCCATCTTACGAGGCGTTGTCCTAATCCAAACGCTTCAACGAGCTACAAATGCAATTAGATACGCATTCTCAATGGACCCCCCTCACGTTCAACAGCACCATTAAGTTGACCACATATTTTGGTGGCACGCGTGCCATCTTCATTGAGCCAGAGATTCTGAGACGATTGCTTTGTAGTTCTTGTTCGAAACACATAGGGTTCCGTTAGCTTTCCATCTCGTTGTGATTAGGGCTAGGACACCGGCATGGTTCTCACTAAACAGTGTGGGACGAGCTGAGCAGATCAAGCAGATCAGGCAGGAAATATTGTAACTCGGGTGGCAAACGACACGGAAACAATGGAAAGTCGAGTGGTACGCAACGAGACCAGGTACACAACAAAAAGAGGACTAGATATCTAGAGAGGGCTTGGTGCGCTCAACGACGGAATAGTTGGGATGGCTGACCCATCGGAGAGCGTAATTACCTATGCCAAAACATTCCGCTCCTCCGTACGTTTTGTGTACAAGTAATAGCTCATGATAGTGGGAAGTAAGAGCTGATGCTACCGCAAATTTGGGGGGTACATGGACAACTTAAAGTTTGGAAGCCTGCGCACGAGAGGGGGCGTTTCCACCGGTCAACAATGCCAACCTTTCCGCTAACGTACAGCTTGAGAGTTCCCAACGCTAATTTAGACCCCGAACCTATAATATCAAAACCAGTGTCCAGGATGATATATTACATAGCAGTATAGAGGATATCCGCGTTCGTGTTTTGAACGTTATCGCGGTTCTGCTGATGGCCTCCATATTGAGTGACGTTGAACACACGCGAGACAACGATTTTGAGGTGAATTTTCCTCTTCCCCACTCCACACCCTTGCCATCTCTTCCCCTTCCTCTTCGTCTTCCGTAGTCGCGCCCGCTTCTGCGTTCAACACGCATGTTGCAGAACAGTATATCCAGTTCGAGACGAACTTTGCCGATGGAGAAAGGAGAACTTGACCAAGATGGGTCAGCTACTCTTCTATTCTTATTCCATCATGCTCCGCCACGTCACGCACTCACCTCCCTCGACTGATTCAATCCATCCATTGATCGTTGGTAGAGAATGCCCAGCTTTGAGGAGGGCGGGGCCCAGCGCATGTGCTAATTTCTGAGTGACGGCACATTCATATCAGCAAGGGCGTAGGGTAAGAGTAATGACGCAACTTTCCATGACATTCTCCCGCATAAGTCCCCCAATATACTCGTCCCTTCCTGTCATCCACGGGCCGACTGGAACGGTCATAACAAGAAACTCTTCATTTTCCAGTTGAGGATGCTCCTCCACTAACGTTCGTAGGTTGTTGATGCCTCTAATATCTGAGCCATTTCGTTGGAGGATATCTTCCACCCCTGAATGGTCTGTCAGCGATGACCAAGAGCAAAATAGCATTTGAAAGCGGACACCGAAACATCTGCATTAACTGCCCTTCGAGATTTTCGCCATCGGTTGCTAGACCCGGCTCCGGCACCGCCAACCAAAGTGGGCTCTCAGCCAAAAGTAGTATACCGCCTGATATTGTACCCAGCATGCTTTGCATCAGAGACTAACAGCGTCGCGGGTTTGCTGTAAACACACCTGGCTTGAGGAATCGTACCAATCTGTCCAGGAAGCATCGATAATTGTTGATCTGTCGATAATTCAGTCCAATTATGGTCAGTCCGCAAAAAGCGTCACGGTCAACGCACCCCAAGGAAGCATGACCTGGCATGGACTACATCAAACTTCCCTAAAGCAAACAGGGCAAACCACTGAATGACATTCCATGCACACCTGACACTTTGACCCGTACCATAGAAATGGCTCAATTCCTCATTAAGGTCCTCAAACTCAAATCTGTAGAGTTAAAGAACTTTGTTGCAACCTGATCACAGAGTCGTTCACACGAACCGACAATTGTCAGGGATCAGATCTCTGAAATAAGGATACGTATCAGCTTGTGGATGTTGTGCTCTCCCGGATCTTGGCGAAATCTATATACCTGATGGGTCCGGGAGCGAGATCGACGCCTATGACCTGATGTGTGGCGTGCCCCAGCATATGACTGCTCATCAGTTATATGTAACATCTGCGGAAAATACTAACCTCTGCGTGAGGGAATTTCTGCGGAAGTTCGAAGAACGAGTGTGTTCGACATTGATCAAACTCTTACACAAACAGTGTTCACATGGATAATGAAGTGTGTGCACATACCTTTGCCATTTCAATCGCCCTTACAATAACCACATCGGTTAGCACCGGATTACCCAGCGGTCATTAGTGTAATACAACTAACCATTCTCCACCTCCACAACCTGAGGGATTTTCTCAGCACTGGTGTTTTGGGAGTGACAGATATATAATAAGTGGTAGATCGACTCACCACAATCCAGAATCCGTTTCTTCTCGCCCTCTTTGGCTGCGAGAACGTGGTCGACTATTGTAGCGGCCTGGTACAGGCTACCCAAGCAGAGCTTTAGGACCGTGTGAAGGTCCGCGCTGTGGCGAATGTGAGATTTGGGGGTGGGACAGAGTGTGAACTTACAGTCTCCCCCATTCCTCAACATCTACCATGAAGGAAAACGTCAGTGAGTACACAAGTCCATTTGCTTTGGGGGTTTCCCAGTCCCTGACACACCGGCTGGGAGAGGGTACACGCGATTCAGCCTGTTGAATTCCCTCCCGTTCTCCTCGACAAAGAACATTTCCCAATCTCTTTCCGATGTATAAGACTGGACGGAGCACTCCCTCTCCTCCTCAGGCTCCATCCCATCGCTGGGGACAGTGTTATGGTGTGATTCAGAGATTATCATGGAGATCATCGATCCTCCATGGTTCCTATTGGTCTCTGGGTCGCTTCGAAACTCCTCCCCATCGTCCATGGAGTGTTGAGTCGCTCGACTCAGAAAGAGGTTTCGAGCGGAAACAAAAAAAAAGATCAATATTTGGGCAATCAGTTGTGGACCCTTAATAATATTGACCGCTGTCAAAGCGCCCATCAACCAGTTGTACCTTTATCATGTATTCTCCCCCCATTCCTCGACATACATGAAGGGTGCAAGTCCATCTGCTTTGGGGCTTGCCGTTGTTACACAAAAGAATCGATAATTGGTCGATCAGTTGTAACCCGACTCCACCATCCCGACCACACCCTGATCATGTCGATCTCATGTACATATATTTTCGGAATGACCGCACTGCCACGCGGCCGCGGGGCAACAAAATAAAGTTCAACAGCAACAACCTGGTTCCGCCAAGGTGCGTGAGCGGTACAACAGGACCAGACAACCGACCGACCTCCCCTTCGGAGATATTGGCTCCCTGATTGAGTTCCTCGGCTTCTTCGAATGGAACATTCAGGTCCTCCAGATCGATCCCCACTACTGCGGTTTATGAAACATTAAGCAACTAGTCAGAAACTACGAACCCAGCTGCGGGTTGATTATTCACGAGAGGACAGATTGTCAAGAACCGACTGCTACAACATTCAGCATTCAAGCGACGGGATGGTGACTAGAAAGAAACCTATGGACTTTTGAGGTTTCAATCAAGGGCGAGAGTTGAACTCCAATGACGAGAATGAGCAAGAGCGAAAACGGGTGGAAGGGCACACGTTTTCAGAGTCGGAACCTCCAAAACTTCAGTCTGAGATTAGCTTAAGCCAACCCCATTCCACATGTAGTTGGCATTTGACTCCGCAGGGCTGTTGGAAAAGCTAGCGGGCATCATGCACAATGCTATTGAACTGCCCATCGAGGGCGATTAAATGGCGTCAGAAGTCTCAGTCTATCCTCGAAAAGTATATTATGTGTTCCCAACGTCGTGGAAAACCAGGCCGCTCTACGCTCGGGTCTGTGGCCGCCAAGGAGTGTAAGGCTTGATTACTCTCACCAACAACTTCGCTTTGCGAGTATGCAGGAATAGTTGGGACGGCTAACCCATTAATTACCTATGCCAAAATATTCCACTCCTCATGTACAAGTAATAATAGCTCATGATCATGATCGATAGTGGGAAGCTTCAATTGAGAGCCGATGTTACCGCAAATTTGGCCACCGCTGGGGGGTGCATGGACAACTTGAAGTTTGGAAGCCTGCGCACGAGAAGGGCGCCACCGGTCAACAATGTCAGCCTTTCCGCTAACGTACAGCTCGAAAGTTCCCGACGCTAATTTAGAGCCCAATATCAAAGCCAGTGTCCAGGATGATGACATGGCAGTATGGAGGATGTCCGTGTTCGGGTTTTGAAAGTTATCGCGGTTCTGCTGATGGCCTCCGCATTGAGTGACGTTGAACCCACACGAGACAACGATTTTGAGGCGAGTTTTCCTCTTCCCCTTCCCCTTCCCCTTCGTCTTCCTCTGTGGTTGCGTCTGCTTCTGCGTTCAACACACATGTTGCAGAACAGTACATCCAGTTCGAGACGAACTTTTCCGATGGAGAAAGGAGAACTTGAGCAAGATGGGTCAGCTACTCTTCTATTCTTGTTCCATCATGCTCCGCCATGTCACGAACAACTCACCTCCCTCGACTGATCTAATCCATCCATTAACCGTTGGTAGAGAATGCCCTGCCCTGAGAAGGGCAGACCCCAGCGCATGTGCCAATTTCTGAGTGACGGCACATTCATGTCAGCGAGGACGTAGGGGAAAGAGTAACGACGCAACTTGCCATGACATTCTCCCGCATAAGTCCCCCAATATACTCGCCCCTTCCTGTCATCCACGGGCCGACTGGAACGGTCATAACAAGAGACTCTTCATTTTGTTGAAATCTTGGTTTTCTTGTGCACTGTGGCCAACTCACAATGTGATGTTGAGCTAGCGGCGCTTTATTTCCTTTCTTGGTATTCCTGCTACCAAAGTCAGTGCGCCATTGAGGCGACTGCTTATAAAAGCAGTGAACAATTTTTCACTTTCGTCTCCCTCAGTTCAACAACGATTGACTGAGGTGAGACTACGCTTTTACTGTAACCCGACTCCGCTATCCCGACCACAGCTTTATCATGTATTGTCGATCTCATGTATATTCAGTTGTACTCAGTGTTTCGGATTTTACTGTAAGTCCCGACATGACCGCCAGCCCATCCTCGTCTGAGTCGCAGGGTAAGTGAAGATGTCATGTTATCATGTTGGTCTTTTCAACTGGGACAAGATATGATCGTCTGAGTGGGCGGCACATCGCATCCAATATTTACACCCCCAGTTCCTCGGCTTCTTCGAATGGAACATTCAGGTTGTTTCAACGCTCATGCTAGCATGCAACTCAGGTATGTGCCTCGGTCAAGAGCAAAAATGAACATTGCCACCATTGATTATGCAATTAACCATATAGATTTAAGTCAAATGGTCCTGAAATTACGCTGAGGCGTCAGATTTTGTATATTAGGGTACCATATCGTTCTGGTGGGTAGAATGCGTGGTCTGCAGTTGCAAGAGTTACTCGCGTTTGCTCAATGCCTGAAGTTGAACCAACTCCGCGCTGCACATCTAATGTTAGCACCGGGGCACAGAAGTCAGTCAATCTACTCACTATCCGCCCTTCAGACGTAATCTGAATGCAAACGAATCGATATTAGCGCCTGTGTTCAATGGGTCGGAAGCGTCACGTACAGTTGGTCATGGGTTCCTACTTCGGCAACTCGTCCCTCCTTGATGTAGAAGCTGTGATACGCGAGGTCAACACCGAGTAAACATGGACACACAAGGATCACTTCATACATCTTATCTGCATCTTGGATAGTGGACAGTCGATGGGCAATTGCGATCGTTGTTCGCCCCTTCCTTGCATTATCCAACGCCTGTGATCAAGTTAGTACAACCAACGCGCGGTTCCAATCAGACAGGATAGCGACGAACTTGTTGCACAACTTTCTCCGAGTTGGAATCCAAAGCCGACGTAGCCTGATGACCGGCATCAATGTCGATGATCAGATCAGATCAATCCTAGTTTTCGGCAACAAGAGTTGACGAACCTCATCAAGCAATAGCACCTTCGGATTTCTCAGGAGAGCACGCGCAATCGCGATACGTTCTATTAGAATAACTCATGAGTGGAAGCTGAGTTTCCCTCATAAGCTAGGATCACTTGCGTTTCTGGCCACCTGAGAGTTGAGAACCTTTTCCACCGACGTTAGTTTCGAATCCATTCGGAAGGCTATCGATAAAGTCGAGGATATTTGCTATGCATGTCGGGATCGTATTGAGCACATTCCTCATCCACAACCGAACTTGATTTTAAGTAGCTCACCATCTCGGCAAACACTCTCTATTTCTTCCTGCGTCACCTCCTCTATGGGCTTCGTAGCCCCAAGAAGAACGTTGAATTTGATCGTGCCAGCGTATAAGGTCTACAGGACATATAGTCGTTAAAACGGAGTCTAGACGCTCAGTCGTGTGGTGACCCACAGGTTCTTGGGATACCAAAGCCAGATGCTTCCGATAATCCTGCACATTAAGCTCGGAAATGTCGTTACCTAGATCAGTTATTTTACATCGTACGTCTCTGTGAGCGAGCTTTAAACGCTTACCATCCAACTGCCCAATGAGTGGTCCGCAAGTCACCATCAGCGAACCCAGCAGACCGAGCCTGAAGTATATTACTCACAAGAATCCTGCCTAAAGGATACAAGCTAAGCTAGAATAGGGTTAACGAGAAGCAACGTCCAACGTACCACTGAGAGGATCATAGAACCTCTCGATAAGCTGGATGCTTTTGATTGCAGAAAAGTTTAGAAAAGATTGTTTAATAAGGGTAGGAACCTCACATTGTACTCTTCCTATATGATATTTCAGTAGAAGAAACACACTTCACGAACAGCACTTACCCCGAGCCGCTAGCGCCAACGATGGCAACGTATGAACCTGGCTTGATACTCAAATTCAAAGACCGCAGAACTCGAACACCAGGCCGAGTAGCTAACAGAACGAGTATTAGTACTTTCACCACTCTCCATGGACCCCGAACGTACGATATCGGAAGTGTACATCCTCCAACTCGATGTGTCCAATCACAGGGTCCAGTTTCTTCCCATCCAGTGAATCAGCGTCGATATCCGGAACGGCGTCAATGAGCTTCGTCATTTCACTCGCAGCCTCTTTGGCCGAAGACATATCCGGAACGAAGGTGAACACCTAGGGATTCCACCGACAATAAGTCTCCGAAGAACCGCATGACAAAGAGAAGAACGCACATTCCCTGCTTGGATGGATCCGAAACTAATCCGGGTAGATATGGATAAGAACCAACATCATGAACATTTAGAAGGCAAAGTCGACATACGTGACAGCCATCAAGCCTGAAATAAGATTAGATTAAACGAACACTTTCAAGACCACATAATTTACGCACAAATAAAAAACTGCTTGGTCGAGTACTCGAGACGAGATACGAGTAGCGACCCATACCAAAAGACCTATAAGTAGACACAACATGTAAACATGTACCCACAGGTAAATATGGTTGATCGACAAATGACATTCGCTTACCAGCGCAATAGCAAAGAACATCATGGCCTGAGTGATAGCGTACAAACCATTGGCCCAAATAGAGGACCGATTCGAATTTCGCATAGGTATATCGAGACTCTTATGATACTCTGTGCAGCAATCCTCTTCACGGGTCAATGAGGCTACAGTTCTAATGGCCCCAGCTGCTTCGCAGGCAACCTGTGCCGAATCATCATGCGATTCCTTGTTTGCCTGATCCTTTAGAACCACAACGCGCTGTATCGATGCGGCATCAGACAGGGTGGGAAAGAGCAGGAAAATGACATACTAGTCGAACATAACCAGTACTAATGACAAATGGAATCGTCGCCACTCCTACGAGGGCGAGCTTCCATCCGTATACAGCGCCAACAGCGATGCCTGCCACAATGGTGGCGCAACTTTGTATAATTGCACCAAGAGTTACACCCGCAAGTCCAAACACCTATTGGGACACAATGTCAACGAACCGCTGCCCCAGAAAAACGTGTGGAACGTGTTTCTCACCTTTTGAGGTGCATCCGACAAACCGGCGACAAGTCCGCCCGTCTGAACGAAAGACACGATCGTTAACGCTGGCATGGGCCATAAAGAAACAGAGACTACGCTTACCGAGTGGCGAGTGTGATCGAACCAAGCGACTATTCGAAACCGTCATGGTCAGGCATCCCCGCTACATGCGTGCCAGCAGATAGAAAGCGAAAAGTAACATACCATCATGCCGCAAGATCGCTCTGAAGGACAACGTTCGCAACTTCCTAGTCAGGCTCGACGCCGCACTGGAGAAGTAGTAATTCTGCGCTCCAATCGTAACTAGATGACACCAAGAGTCATCGAGGTGAGGAACCGAAACAAAAGTTGGGAGTCCGAGACTCACCGGTTGAGACAATAGCAATAATAAAAAACCAGAGAGCATTCCTATCGCCTGGTTTCGAAGAGGGTGAAAATCGTGTCAAATACTTGGTGAAGGAATAAATTAAATTCGAATGGCTCACCTGCATGCCGGAAAGCTGCATGATCTGTGTTCTGAAATCCTTGAATTGCAACACCATAAACGATTCCAAAGGCGGGATAAACGAGTCCAGTAACTATACATCCAAAATAAAACCAAAACATCATTAGCATATTTTCAAAAGAAAAAAAAAAGAAGCGTAAACGGAAAAATCCAACTCACGAATGGAGGCAAGAGTCCCAAGAATGTAAACCCCATAATCATCCCTGTTGATATGGCCCATCCTCTTGAAAAGGAACCATGAAGAGTATTCTTTCTCCGGGGAATCCTTCTTCTCGTGCCTAGACTCGAGTATCCCACTCGAAATAGAATGAGCCGTATTAACACGACCCAATGGAACCTCCTTTTCCTGTATTTCCTTAACTTCTTCCTGCGTAAGTTCCACTCCACCAGCAACGCCACCACCACCACCAATGCCATCCCCAATATCCAACCCGTCCGACTCATCTCGTCTCTCTTCCCTCAACTTTTGAGCATTCACAAGACGAGCATACGCTCCGCCCTCCCTCCGAACTAACTCATCATGCGATCCATATTCGAGAATTTGTCCTTCTCCCATAACGTAGATGCGATGAGCATCTTTGATGGTAGATAGACGGTGAGCGATCGTTATGGTCGTTCGACCCTTGGACGCTTTGTTGAGTGCATCCTGGACGATCCCTTCGGATTGGGTATCAAGAGCACTGGTCTATATCAACCGGGGATTGGTGAGAAAAGCGAGTTCGAGGAGGTAACGAGAGATCTTACAGCTTCATCTAGAAGAAGAATGGGAGGGTCGCTAACGATGGCCCGAGCAATTGCAATGCGTTCTGAGCAAACGACGATGAGAGGGAGATAACCAACGAATGTGTGTAGTTTGACTTGCGTTTCTAAAGTGGTGAAGTTAAGATGTCAGATATGGATCAAACCGATAAAGTCTATTATCGACATACCTGACCACCAGAAAGCAAATATCCACGCTCTCCAACCATGGTATCATATCCTGTTAACAAGGAACACACGACCCCAATCAGCCGTTCCAAAACTACTAACCACCAGAGAAGAAAGGGATTGACTCTCGTACCATTCGGCAGCTTCGAAACGAACCCATCCGCATTAGCCATAACACACGCCTTCCTAACCATCTCGTCCACGACCTCCTTACTCAACTCACGACCTTCCTTGTTCCTCCCGACCAACCCATACTTCACATTCTCCTTGATAGTAGTCGCAAACAAAACGGGCTCTTGACTAACAAGCCCCATCTGGCTCCTCAACCACTTCACATTCAACTCTCTCAAATCGATTCCGTCCAACCTCACAACGCCTCCATCTCCATCTTCAAGTCCTTTCTCTTCGTCGACAGCACTACTGGGACCACCACTCTTCTCGTCCCCTTCCTCTTCTTTCACCTCCTGATGCTGCTGAATCTTCCTCCAATCTTCCGGATCAGGATCATAAAATCTTTCCACAAGGGAAACGATGGTAGATTTACCCGATCCCGATGCACCAACGAGTGCAGTCGTCGTGTTGGGCTCGAAAGCCACAGAGAGGTTCTTGAGAACGGGGACTTCGGGACGAGAAGGGTAGTGGAAAGAGACATTTTCAAAGGTGATTCGACCTTGCACGGATGAAGGTTTGAGACCATCTGGGGAAGCGGAGTCTATTGGGGGACTGGCGGACGCAAAAAGTCAAGGAGTTAATGATGGGGTGTAGTTCAACAACAGTATAAAGGAAGAATAAAAAAAAAGGCGAAACACTTACATTCTATCGATGGCGGCGAAAATCTTGGCAGCTGCTCCCTTGGCATGGGTAATAGCTTGCGCCTCTGGCGCCATCATAGCCAACGAAAAAGACCCAATCAAAATAGCCATGAACCTAAGAAAAAATGAGACGAGAAAATTAATCTCCCCCCCCCCCCCCCCCTCGAAGTACAAGCAAAGGATGCCCACACATTCACAACGATCCCAACATTCGCCTCCCCCCTCAACACAAGCGTCGTCCCAAACGAAAACGCCAACGAATACGACGCATAGATCGTGAAGAAAAACGAGCCCACTCCAAGACCGGTCGCGGCCGCAGCTCTCAAATCATACTTGAACGCCTCGTCCACATGAGTATCGTATTTTTTGCCCAAGACGAGTTGGGTAGAGAAGGAATGTGCAGTTCGAATGGTCGAGATGACTTCCTCCGCGAAGGAGCCTCCTGTAGCTAATGCTTCACGGGATTTTCTGTGCAAGGAAGGTGAAGGAACCGTTGGTTTGATGGGTGGGGGAGGAAAGGGGCGGGTATGGCGAGAAAAGTGAATAAATGGGAGTAAGCAGAAGCTGACGAGGGACGTACTGCATATACCGAGCGACAAACTTCTGCATGAAGGCGCCCGTAATTGCGATACAAGGTAAGACGGACGAAATCGCGAGAGAAAGCTTCCATGAACGAGCGAACGCAACTGATGGAATGAGTGAGATACGAGAGATAGCGATCGACGACAGTGAAAAGGGGAAAAGAAATTGAAAGGAATTATTTGACAAACTTACGAATGAATCCAGTGAAGAAAGCTCCTAGGAAATTAGCGACGAGGGCAACCTTCTCTGATATCCCTTGCTGTATCAAATCTGTCTCCCCCCCCCACCCCCAAAAGAAGAAAAATCAGCACATCTCAATGCTGCATGTACTAGCAGAAAAGGGGGTCACAGAAACGCACGAGTGTCAGTTTGAATCCGAGTTGCAACTTCTCCTGCACCGATATTATCGAAATATGCGATATCCTGATGGAGAGTAGCCCGAAGGTATTTCTCCCTAATTCTTCGAGAGTTGACTTCGCCCGTATAGACCTGATATGTCAATTAATTTTTTTTTACCCCAAAAATCAGTTCAACGCTTCAAATTTCAACGATAACAAACAAAGAGATATTTAAAAAAAAAATCGACTGACCCATATACTCATATACACATACGTGCCAACGAATATTCCAACCCCAATCAGCGCCAACCAAAGGGCGTCCATCGCTGCTTGATGTTTAAACTGATCCCTCGCTTCATGGAATATCTTGAGATCGTCTGGGGAATTTGAACGAGAAGAAGCCAATTTTCCAAAATTGACGAAGGTGTTCGTTAGGTTCCCGAAGAGGAGTGCCATGAGTGGCTAAATGTGTAAAGGTAGAGTTGACCACAGGGGGGAAGGGGAGTGTGATCGAGAAGAGCCGGCATCAAATATTGGGGTTTGGCGTTGCGAGTGTGCGATTTAGGGGGGGGGGGGGGGTGGGATGAGCATCGCAGAAGTGGAAGCGTCCAAGTGAAAAAAAAGAGCATGTTAACGACAAATAGTAACACTACTTGTACACCATGTACACACCTGAGCACCACCCGCAGCAACAGCGCAGACAATTCCAATAAAATCCAAGAACAACTCCAACCTGGTCGAAAATCGGAAGAGCGCCGAGAATGAAACAGGCTCAATCTCTTTATTTTTCTCCCCTTCTCCATCTTTAAGATCAACGGGTACTTCGACGTGATCTGCGTCAGCTGCCGGGAGCCCCCTTCCATCTTTATTATTGTTAGGAGGCGAAGAAAGAGGGGGAGTTACACTTGAAGTAGTGGGTATGGATCGAATGGGTGATAATTCTGGGCTGGGCTTTTCGATAGACCCAGCGCTTGACGTCCTCACCGCTGAGGTAGCCATGATTTTCTTTCCCTTTTACCTTTTACTGGCGAACTGGATCCTTCGTGGCAAGGAGTGGGCAAATAGGGTGATCAAATGTCCGAAGCTGGACTGGCTTGCAAAGGAAAAGACTTGGGGATGTTGGATGGGGAAAAAAAGGGGAGAGGCACGCATAACTGACGATGACTCTATATGCGGTTGTCAACTGCGCCTGTATTCAATTTCGGCACCGAACTGTTTTGCCAGGGGACATTGAGTACGGCCGGAAGACGCGTCAACGGACCCGAAAAAGAAGGTCAGGTTCTGAAAAATGACTCGTCATGTATCATATTCTCTTGAGTTGTCCTCCTTTCAATGATAAGCGCCCGTCAATAGAGGGTGTCATGAAATATAATGTGAGGATGAAAATCATTTTGTGGGCGCCAGTCCCTCGCGGTTCATTCCGGATTAACCAGGACTACGTAAATGACAGTCCGTGAGTACTGTGGTGGTTGCTACTATAAGTAAGCAATACTCCGCAACAAACAACACTTGAAACAATCTTCATCTTCCTGAACCCTGCAGCGAGATTTGCAAAAAAAAAGTGTCGCGCTCGTCGGAAACGGAGCCATTGATTTATTTACATAATCACCCCACTATTCCCACGCCAGGCTGTCGCTTATATATTGTAGCGAACCGGTTTGCGCCGCAGGATGGGGAGCGCGGATTCCATAAGCCCTGTCTGTGGTTAATTTGTTGATAACCGAGAGTAGTCCTCCGTATCGCAGGAGGTCCAAGTCAGGCTACATATCTTAAATTGACTGCGTAGTTCATGCAGGGTGATGGTTTCTTGCACATCGAATATAGGACGTTATCTCTGATTGTTGCATGAATAGTCAGCAATTCCCAGATACGTATCGGATGTCATTAAACCCCCGGGCCTTATAGTCATCAATTCAAGATGACCAGATTTTTTTGGTTCAACCTTCGGTAGCTTTTGTAGACAAGGATGCCTGAAGGTTTGTGCGTTGCACTTCAGCCAATTCTCAGGGAGGCGCGCTTCGTTTTCTGGGATGCTGCTCCAGCTGTGTAGGACAGCAGTCTCTCGTTCATTGCAGCTTTGAGGGTGTATTAGGGCCTCTTTTTGCGTTCTCCTCTCGGTTCGTCTCCGAGGATTCTCTTGCATCTCAATTTCCATACTTGCCAGCCGCACTCGAATATGGCAATCCTGAAGAATCACCGCACCGAGTCTTACGGTGCCGTTCTGGCTTTTAAGGGGGGGCTGCCGTTATGTGCTGCATTCCCGCGTTGCTGGCCAATCTATACCTTTCAGCTTCTAACAGCGGCCCAGAGTTTTGGACCTTGGGGTTGTAGGGGCAATCGAAAATGATATGGCTGGTACCGTATCGCGAGCATTGGATTTGGTCCTCGTAGCCCGAGATTCTTTCCTGAATGGGTGATAGTGGGGGACTAGACCTTCCGATGGAGCCAGCGCTTGATGTCCTCGCCACCGATGTAGCCATGGTTGTGTCTTGTTACCCTTTCAATCAGTGGACTGGATACTGCCCAAGGAATGCTGCAGCGGGGAGTGGGTAGATAGGACGATCAAATATCTGAAGTCGAATCGGCTTGTAAGAAAGACTTGGGTGGGGATGGCTGGGCAGGAGGAAACTAGTTCCCTCATCCGGCTCCATGATCCGTTGATGCGGCCAGGGCAACTCGATATTGAGACTTGTTGCGTCTTATGCAAGGGCCCTTGTCATGGCTGGCCGCGATTCGTTCCGGATCGTGGGGTTTGCTGACTGTATTTTGCTGATCAGCGCTGGTACGGGCCCCGAAGCAGGCATGTCATTGACAGGAAGAACTTGCCAAGGGACATTGAGTCAGCCGGAAACGCGCCAACGGACCCGAAGAGAATATCAAAAATGACTCGTTATCCAAGTATCACATTCTCGTTGCCGGTTGAGGGCGAGCTATGTCCTCCTTCAACGATAAATGCCCGTCAATAGGGAATGTCATGAAATATGGTGTGAGGATGAAATTCGTTGGTATTTCACATTTGGGCGCCATTTCCTCCGTCAGCATCCAACTCCATGCAGCCATGACTCGAAGGTGCCACCACGGCTAATTCATTCCGGATCAACCAGGACTACATGTACACGTCCAGAAGCTTGTTAGGCAGTATATATCAAGTAATCCATGCATATGGATATGCCCGGGCGGCCGCGGCAGGCTTAGCTAGGGGTGGGAACGTTTGATGCTCTTCGACTGATCGGCAAAGTGTCCTTGTGGACAAGTGCATGATGACCGCATTTGCGCCAGCAGCGGATGAACCATCCGCGGGGTCGGACAGCGTTTTAACCATTTACGCTCACATGAAAGAAGTGATTATTACTTAAATACGATGAACAATCTAGTTTGGAGTTCTTTGTGTGTATAAATCCAAATCAAGTGCAAGAGGTTTTTTTCTCTTTAGTGTTCAGTGCAGAATCGGGCCCGGGGCAGCCACTGGCGATGTGGGGCATTTACTAGATGGAGCGACAGTCAGTATTATTCATTCTCACGCAGCTGTGGTGAAGACCAACCCAACTACCCCCGAAATCGGTTTTGATGGTCCTTAATGGGTGGGCGGAGACCACTGCCCGAAAAGCTGATAGTTATTAGGATACAATGAGTCATCGATTGCACTGGACGTCAATTCGCCCCGTCCGAGGAGGTACCAGAGGGTCTTGTAGGCTGCCCAAGGGGCATATTCCTAATAGAAAACAAAGGGTGGACTCGTGCATACTAATAAGAACAGTGGTGGGAATGAACAGACATACCGGCATCATGTGTCCAGCAAGATTAACTTCCACATAAGTCACTACAAAAAAAAAATAAACAAGAATCTCGTCAGTCAAAACCGCAAATTCGCTCGCAGGCGAACGGTGTCACGGCATACATTCTGGACAGAAAGGGATGAGGCGATGACAAATCTGAACATATTTTTGAGAAATTAAGCGCTCACTTCGCTCTTGATGCAAATTCCCAATTGCACCAAACCCGTCAATGACGAATGATTCCTTGACGATAGGAGTTCGGAAACCTTTCAAGCCCCCCCTGTACGGACACCATGTAGTGTCAGCAGAATAGCCATTTCCGGAATTCCAGAGCAGGAATACATACAAGTCATATTTTGAATAGCGATTCTCGTCCCTTCAGCGATTAGGACATAATCGGCCAACCCATGCATGACGACTGTTCGTGCACTCTTTTGAATGACGTTCGGCATGACGCTTAGCATCGAAGGAACAGAGTTATCCTGTCCATTAACATATACCGGCTGAGAGGAAGAAATTTCAGGATAACAAGAATAGAAGCGATGAATGGATAGACGGTTGTTGCTTACTTTCGTAGAGCATTCACTCCAATCGATGTGAGGAGCATGAATAGCATCCTGGACATCCCTTCGAGCAAAGTAAACAGGGGACTAGTCAAAAATACGTTAGCTGCCCATTCCTTTCTGAGCCCCTTCCCTCTCTTTGGCCATTCTAACGTACTTGATAATTAAAGAAAGACCCCGGAAACCCAATCACGTCCCAAAGGACGGGCCATCCATCGAAGATCCTATAAACATTAAAATTCGGATTCGCCATGGCAGACGCATTGTAGATATCATCCCATAACAAACATCCACTCGTAATGTTTGCATAATTCGGTACGGTTCCCGGTACGTAAGCTTGCGGAGGCAAAGGGAACGGGCCTGGTGGAGGTGGGTATGTGGCATAGGTCGCCGCATAGTTCGTGAAGCCGCAGAAATCCGAGGCGTTCTTGAGCGTCTGGAGGTACGAAGCATTTAGGCCGAGGACGTCTTTCCATTTATTAGCAAAGTTGTACGCGGGGATATATTCCGTTACGATGTCCCATGAGACGGAGGGATCAGTTAACCAAATTCCCTTGGTTTTAAGAGGGACCAATCCAGGATGTTCGTACAGGTAGTTTGCAATATACGGCACATAGTATCCGGCTTTGATAGCGTTAGAAACAAGAAAGACGAGGGAGGTATAACTGAGCTGGTTGCTTTTATGGTCGACATTAAAGCGCTACGTACCATATGATTCTCCTGTTACATAAAAGTTCTTTCCTTTCAGTTCCTTGAAGACCTCCAAGAATTGAACCAAAAATCCGGCAAGTTGAGCTGCCAGCTCATCATCGTCACTGCATTTACGAAGTAGAAAGGTGGTTGCAAGTTTTCCAGGATTAAGTCAAGAGCCATCGGGAACGTCGGACTTAAAGAAAAGAAAACGCACTGAATGTTAGGGGTGCCTTGAGAAAACCCGGTTCCAACAGGCTGTTCTACCCAACTATTTTATGCAGTTGTTAGTCTTCTATAGGAGAACAACTGCCCTTGAACAGCCTACAGAACGTGACTCTAACAGAAAATGAACATCGTATCAAATATGAGGCGAAAACATAAAGAGGAAGACTTACGAGATTTGTCCATGACCACTGGTTGGGGATAGGCTTCGCGGTTCCCGTTGGCCTGATTCAACGAAAACACAACGATGAGTGTTGGACAAAAAAGAACGCCATGTGTGCATACCACTTAAACGGACCATTCTCTTGCAAGAAACCCATCATTGACGAACACCCAGGACCGCCGTTCGTCCAGAACCTGAAGCGCGACCAGATAGATTCCCATCGTGAGAAAACTATTTGTGAGTCCACCAAGTTTGAATCAAACCTACACGAGATCATCAACATGTCGAGGATCTTTCGAAGGCCAAAACCAGAAAAAAAGTTTTCGCTTCTCTCCCTTTTTAGCGGAAATTGGCATCAAACCTTGATTGGGACACAACGATTAGCGCGGAAAAAAAAAGCAGGGAGATCAGATGTAGCGGGAACTGCCAAGGGCCCGGGTGTGCTGGTTAACAGGCCAGAAATCCAAGGGACATACCTGCCCAGCTGTCACCAACATCAAAGTCAACCTCTGGAATTTTTTTCCCATCAACATGGTATTCTGCAATGTGTGAGAATGGTAAACACAACAACGGCATTGGCATTTAACTCAAAGAACTTACTTCGGGCCTCAGGATTGGAAAACGTAACAGTACTCTTCTTCTTGGGAACCTCTCGGGGACTGGTGTCCGAAACAGAAGAACGAGTTGTGAAGGCTTCAGCACCTGGAGCCTGGACAGCGCGTTGCATTGCGTGAAGCTCATTTGGCGAACGCATCGCGCCAATACAGTGAGCAAGTGCACCTGCTAGGGCGACGCGTAACAGAGTCTTCGCTAACATCCCGTACAACGAAGCGCCCCCACGACGTGGAAGAGAAGAACCAAGCTGATCTCGAAGAGGGGAGTAATGGCTCGGAGGTGGTGATGGGTCCAATCATAACAATGATTTATATAGTAAACGGGAGAGCTTGCGCATATGTAACGGTGACCGGGTGAAGGAGGCAGGACTCCAGCCTCTATGACTTCGTAACAATATATCGGGCCAAGATGGCCGTAGCAACAGTGACCATGGTCCATGTGGCATAGCGGTTGTTGAGGAACCATGCCTAGCGGGACGCTTCCAATCAATGAAATCAACCCTGGCTTAAGAGGTAACCTGCCTAACCCGGCTTGTCTTCCTTCGCACATGGCCAGGTGCTCAGCACAAATAAAGCGCCCATGTTTGTTGTTCCGGGCGTTCAGCCTGCAAATAATAGGTTACCGTTTGCTCCGTCAAAACGCTCTATCTGATATAGGGGCTGGTCCCGTCTGTCAAAGCGCCAGGAGCAGCTCAACATTATCTCCACACGTGGGCGAACCGAGTAGATTCCCACACTCACGCGGAGCTTAGGACCGCCTTCTGGTCTAGTCCTGACCGTTGCACGGCCGCAGGCCCGCCAATACTGCCGAGGCTGAACCAATGGCACCAAATCTGCACTGAATATCACAGAGCGTCAGGTTGAATCTCAATCTTCGATGCGTCGTCGTCGGTCGGAAAACCCTGGGCGCATACCGTTTAAACGCGTTTTTACTTGATATATATGTACAACACGCAAATATTGCTGCAGGGTCCAGGGAAGATGAACATCGTTTCAGTGTAGTTCGTTGTGCAGGATTATCGATGTGGTTGTTGGAATGAAGATATCTCCATCATGGGTCGTTTTCCGGCCTCACGATGATGCGAGCGGAAACAAACTCTTCCTTACTATTAAGTATTGTCATGGAACTGGGGACTCACATGCCCTGACTAGTACATAGTCAGTCGCACATTAGGATGGGACTGATTACATTGCCTATTGAGCTGTCCACGCCGCAGACTACTTATCCCAATAGGAAGGAGATATCTGCACGTTGCACAAGCGATTCTCACATTCGGGCAGAGAAGCTTAATTTTGCTTTCTCACGCCTCCCACGATATTCTAAACGCACGGAATTGTCCGGCGCATTTTCTCGGAAGATAACGGGGAAAACCGTTTATTCCGGGCCCTAGGAGGGTCAAACTGAATTATAAACCATCCCTAGCGCTGTTCTAAAAAAGACTCGATCAAATCAGGCTCAATGACACCTAACTTCCTCTGCTTATCTCGAGTGGGCCGAAGAAGACCTTCCACTTCAACCCCGATAATCGGAAGTGGGACCAAACTAGCATTCCAAGCAAGGCTCACAAGCACTTTTGGTGTGCGTTCAAAACGGTATTGGCATTTTCAAACTCCATACTCTTGACCAGAGCGGCGGACGCATTCTGGAACAGTGCCCTGAATGTGGTTTGAATAGCGAAATGACTGGGATGGCCCTCATGAAATGTATTTGGAATGCTTGGGAGTGGTAGTATACCGTGGGTGTGGAGTTCTTGTTTTCTTCACACCGCCATTTCCATCATATCCCCAGACTCTGTCATATCCCCGGTTTAAGTATCCGCGCGGAATTCTGGATGTGCCATCAGATTTCGTCGGCAGGATATATCGATCGACTTTTTTTAGCAAGCAGGATCGAATAGTGAGCCGATCGGACAACTATCAAAGTATTCCCTGCTCAATGTTTATATATCAACTATTCGGTATTTAGTTCCCGAATTCTTAGAACCTACGGGACTTTGTCCGTCAGACAGAGTCTGCCTCATCCTATTCCGACCTGCATTTTCCCACCGTTAATTTCGCAAGGAGGGTGAATTACCCTATGGTTATGGCTCAACCTACTTCAACTGTTTGACACGACATAAAGCAGGGTCCAAAGGGGACTGGCCCTGGTGTGATTTATCACCTGTTTGACACGCAGTTCAATGTAGAAGACTCCGCAACCAGGGACTCCGCCTTGTACACCATGATCTCGCTTGTGCGTCGCTTGTCAGACTAGATGCAATCTTAGGAAATAATCAGGTGCTGTATAATTAGTGACAGCCGCACGGACTCGCTCAGACTTGCTGGAAGAACGAAATGGCAATGACTCGGAGCATAATTACTATTCTAACCAGTGTCAAGCGCACATTGTCATTTTGAATTATGAATTAAGATATGATCCTAAGCAAAAGGTCACGAAATCATGCCAGAGCAGATCAGCATCGTCGGGTCTGTGTATTTGGTTACCGCACGATTCAATAATATATAGAATGACGCGTAGTCGGTGGTTGAGGAATTACTCATGCTTGCTCAATGCCTGAAGCTGAACTAGCTCGGCGCTGTACATCAAATGTTAGCACCTGATCAGAATGCCAACCAATCTACTCACTATCCACCCTTCAGACGTAATCTGAACGCGATCGGATCTATGTCAGCGATCGTGTCCACTGGTTCAAGAACGCTACATACAGTTGGTCGTGAGTTCCGACTTCCGCAACCCGTCCACCCTTGATGTAGAAGCTGTGATACGCAAGGTCAGATCGAGCGAACACAGAAAAAAGTATAGCTTCATACATCTTATCTGCATCTTGGATAGTGGACAGGCGATGCGCGATGGCAATCGTTGTTCGCCCCTTTCTTGCGTTATCCAACGCCTTGTGATCAGGTCAATACGACCAGGACTTAATTCTAATTAGACAAGCTGATGACGAACTTGTTGTACAACTTTCTCCGAGTTGGAATCCAAAGCTGACGTAGCCTAGCCAGCATCAATGCCAATGATCAGAGCAGATCAATCTTTAATTTCGGAAACAAGAGTTGACGAACCTCGTCCAGCAGTAGCACCTTCGGGTTTCTCAGAAGAGCACGCGCAATCGCGATACGTTCTATTGGGTTGACTCATGAATGAAAGCTGCGTTTCCCTTATAAGCTAAAATCACTCACGTTTCTGGCCACCTGAGAGTTGGGAACCTTTTCCACCGACGTTAGTTTCGAATCCATTTGGAAGGCCATTAATGAAGTTGAAGATGTTCGCTGTATGATGGAATGGTATTGAGCACATTCTTCGTCTATAGTTGAATTTCATTTCAATCAGCTCACCATCTCGGCAAACACGCTCTATTTCTTCCTGCGTCACCTCCTCTACAGGCTTAGTAGCTCCAAGAAGAATGTTGGATTTGATCGTGCCAGCATATAAGGTCTACAAGACATATGGTCGTTAAAACAAGGTCTAGATGCTCCATCATAAGGTGACTCACAGGCTCTTGGGATACCAAAGCCAGATGCTTCCGATAATCCTGCACATTAAGCTCGGATATGTCGTTACCTAGACCAGTTCTTCAACACCCTACGTCTCTGTGAGCGAGCTTCAGACGCTTACCGTCCAACTGCCAAATGAGTAATTCGCAAGTTACAATGAGCGAACCCGGCAGACTGAACTTGAAGCGTATTACTCACGAGAATCTTTCCTAGAGGATACAGGCTGAGCTAGAGTATTGATAACAAGAAGCAACATCCAACGTACCACTGAGAGGATCATAGAACCGCTCGATGAGCTGGATACTTTTGGTTGCAGAATAGTTTAGAAATGATCGTTGAACAAGAGTGGAGGATCTTACACCGTACTCTTCCTGTAAAATATTTCAGCAAAAGAAAACGCATTTCACGAACGGCACTGACCCGGAGCCACTAGCGCCAACAATGGCAACATACGAACCCGGCTTAATGGTCAAATTCAGGGACAGGAGAACGCGAACACCAGGTCGAGTAGCTAACAGAACGAAAATTAATATACTCATTACTCGCAATAGAGAGTGAACGTACGATATCTAAAATGCACATCCTTCAGCTCAATGTGTCCAACCACGGAGTCCAACTTCTTCCCATCCGGTGAGTCAGCATCAATAGCTGGAACAGCGTCGATGAGCTCCGTCATTTCAGTTGCAGCCTGTTTGGCCGAGGACACATCTGGAACATAGCTGAACATCTAGGAATCCCAACCCCAAATAAATCTTAAAATGCACGAGAGGGCTGTCTGACAAACAGAACCCACATTCCCTGCCTGAATTGATCCGAAACTAGATAGAGAGATATGGATAAGAATCAACATGACGATTATTCAGAACGTGAAGTCGACATACGTGACAGACATCAAACCTGAAATAAATTTATTAAAATGAGCGAATCACTCATGAACAACATTTACGCACAAATGAAGAACGACTTGGTCGAGTATTCGAGGTCTAATACTAGCCACGAACCATACCAAAATACCTATGTACACAATGAGTGTAAACATGAGTGGATGGGAAACATGAATCTACGAATAGCATTCGCTCACCAGAGCAATAGCAAAGAACGACATGGCTTGAGTGATGGAATACAAACCAGTAGCCGAAATAGAAGATCGATTCGAATTCTGCAAAGGTATCTCGAGACTCTTGTGATATTCCTCACAGCAATCCTCTTCACGAGTCAACGAGGCCACAGTTCTAATAGCCCCGGCTGCTTCGCAAGCAACCCGCGCCGAATCGCTATGCGCTTCCACGTTTGCTTGGTCCTTTAGAACCACAACGCGCTGCACCGAGGCGGCGTCAGACAGTGTGAGAGGACATCCAGGACAAGCAAGTGGCGTACCAGCCGAACGTAGCCAGCACTAATGACGAACGGAATCATCACTACCCCTAAGAGGGCAAGCTTCCATCCATAGATAAGGCCAACAGTGACACCCGACACAAGGGTGGCGCAACTTTGAATGATCGCACCAAGAGTCACACCCGCAAGCCCATACACCTAATGGGACGGAATGTCAGTAAAGCGCCGCCCAGAAAAACGTGCGCAGCATGCTCCTCACCTTTTGAGGCGCATCCGACAAACCAGCGACAAGTCCGCCCGTCTGAGCGAGGTAAGCGAGGTAACACACTCGTTAACGCCAAGCGTCGGACATAACAAGAAGGAACTACTCATACCGAATGGCGGTCCTCATCGAACCAAGCGACTATTCAGAAATTATCACAGTCAGGACACATCTACCAGCAGATCAAATGACAGGTTACATACTGTCATGTCGCAAGATGGCTCTAAATGACAACGTTCGCAACTTCCTAGTCAATCCCAACGCCCCCTTGGAGAAGCAGTAATTCTGCGCTCCAAATGTAACTAGATTGCATCAAGAATCAACATGCCACCGCTCAACCATCAAGGTGAGAAACAGAGAAAGCGGGGGACTTCGACACTCACAAGCTGAGAAAAGAGCAATAAGGAAGAACCAGAGGGAATTTCTATCGCCTGGTTTCGAAGAAGGTTGGCATCATGTCAGGAACGAAAAGAAAAGAATTAAGTTAAGGTTTGAACGTGACTCACCCGCATGCCGGAAAGCTGCACGGTCTGTGTTCTGGAATCCTTGGATCGCATAACCAAAAATGATTCCAAAGGCAGGATAGATGAGTCCAGTAACTATCCGTCAAACAGAAACCAGGACATGAGCATAACTTTCAGTGAAAAAAGAAACTCAATCCCAAACCAAACATCCAACTCACGAATGGCGACAACGGTTCCAACAATGTAAACCCCATAATTGTCCTTATTGATACGACCCATCCTTTTGAAAAGAAACCAAAAAGAGTACTCTTTCTCCGAAGAATTCTTCCTCTCGTGCCTAGACTTGAGTGTCCCACTCGAGATAGAATGAGTAGTGCTGACGCGACTCAAGGGAACCTCCTTCTCCTGTAGTTCCTTCACTTCTTCCTGCGTAGGTTCCACTCCATGGGCAGCGCCACCACCAATGACATCCCCAGTCTCCAACGCCTCCGACTCATCTCGCTTTTCTTCCCTCAACCCTTGGGCGTTCACAAGACGAGCATACGTTCCATCCTCCCTCTGAAGTAACTCATCATGCGTTCCATATTCGAGAATTCTTCCTTCTCCCATAACGTAGATGCGATGAGCATCTTTGATGGTGGATAGACGGTGCGCGATCGTTATGGTCGTTCGACCTTTGGATGCTTTGTTGAGTGCGTCCTGGACAATTCCCTCGGATTGGGTATCAAGAGCACTAGTCTATAAGGTCCCGGGGTTCTGTGAGAAGGGTAACGAGTTTCGGAGAGGTAATGGGTTCTTACAGCTTCGTCTAGAAGAAGAATGGGAGGGTCGCTGACGATGGCCCGAGCAATTGCGATACGTTCTAGCAATGATCCCAAGGACGATAAGTACACATTAATATTCCTAGCGAATGCGCATGGATTGGCTTACGTTTCTAAAACGGCAAAGTTAAGCCATCAGACATGAATCGAAAATGACCACCCGACATACCTGACCACCAGAAAGCAAAAATCCACGCTCTCCAACCATGGTATCATAGCCTGTCAAAAAGGAACACACGTCCCTAATCAGCCGCTTCAAACAAAGCAAAAAGGCATCGACTCTCGTACCATTCGGCAACTCCGAAACGAACTCATCCGCATTGGCTACAACACAAGCCTCCCTAACCATCTTATCCACCGCCTCTTCACTCAACTCTCCACCTTCCCTGTTTCTCATCCCAACCAGTCCATATTTAACATTTTCCTTAATGGTAGTCGCGAACAAAACGGGCTCCTGACTGACAAGCCCCATCTGGCTCCTTAACCACTTGACATTCAACTCCCTCAAACCGATTCCATCCAACCTCACAACGCCTCCATCCCCAAGTCCCTTCTTTTCGTTGACAGTACTGCTGGAACCGCCACCAGTAACACTGTTATTCTCATCCTCTTCCTTTTCCTGTACCTGCTGCTCGGTCCTCTTCCTGCTCCCCACCTTCCAATCCTCAGGATCAGGATCATAAAACCTCTCCACAAGCGAAATGATCGTAGATTTACCCGATCCAGACGCACCAACGAGTGCAGTCGTCGTATTAGGCTCGAACACCACGGAGAGGTTCTTGAGAACGGGAACATCGGGGCGAGAAGGGTAGTGGAAAGAGACATTCTCGAAGGTGATTCGACCTCGGACGAACGAAGATTTGAGACCCGCTGGAGAAGCAGAGTCTATTGGGGGACTAGTGTCGAGAGATTAAGGAGTTAAGGATAACAGGAAAATGAAAGGACATGCACTTTGGCACGATTAGGAGAAGCACTTACACTCTGTCGATGGTGGCGAAGATCTTGGCTGCTGCCCCTCTGGCGTGGGTAATAGCCTGCACCTCCGGCGCCATCAACGCCAATGAAAAGGACCCAATCATAATAGCCATGAGTCTAATTTGAAATGAGAGAAAATCGATACTCCCCGGTCCTAGCAAATAAGATGGTTTTTTTGTACTCACACATTCACAACGATCCCAACGTCCGCCTCCCCCCTCAAAACAAGCGTCGTCCCAAATGAAAACGCTAACCCATACGACGAATAAAGCAGGAAGAAAAACACTCCATACCCAAGACCCGTCACCACCCCTGCTTTCAAACTATACTTGAACGCCTCATCCACATGAACATCATATTTTTTACCCAAGATGAGTTGAGTCGAGAAGGAATGCGCGGTTCGAACGGTCGAGATGACTTCTTCTGCGAGGGATCCTCCTGTAGCTAATGATTCACGGGATTTTCTACGTACGCGCATACGCAAAGGTGGGCGTAGGGGGATTGGGGATCGTTAGTTTCTGGCTGAGGGATTGGGCTGAGGAGGGAAAACGTACTGTATATACTTTGTGACAAAGTTCTGCATCAAGGCGCCCGTAATTGCGATACAAGGTAAAATAGATGAAATCGCTAGCGAAAGTTTCCATGAACGGGTGAACGCAACTGATAAAGTACGAGACGAGAAGAGAAGAGAAATATGCGGTTGATATGACAGCGAAAAAAAAGGGAGAGGATGTCCAGTGAGTTTTTAAATCTGGGGTTTTAGAAGAAGGATTTCACGACTTACGAATGATTCCAGTGAAGAAAGCTCCTATAAAACCAGCAACGAGGGCAACCTTCTCCGATATCCCTTGCTGTATCAAATCTTCCCCAAGAAGAAAAGTCAACGATCTGCATGCAAGAAACGGAGGGCTGGGAGAAGAAGAGGATAAGGGGGGGAAAGTCCAAGAAACGTACGGGTATCAGTTTGAATACGAGTGGCCACTTCTCCTGCACCGATATTATCGAAATACGCGATATCTTGACGGAGGATAGCTTGGAGGTATTTCTCTCTGATTCTTCTCGAGTTCACTTCGCCCGTGTAGACCTGAGATAAAAAAATAAGTCAGTGGACACGAGTTCAAATTCCAAATTCTCCAGTGATAATGATAATATACACAAATAAATATAAAGAAAGAGAGGGAAGGAAATCGACTTACCCAAGTAATCATATAGACATACGAACAAATGAGTATCCCAACTCCAATCAGCGCCAAAAAAAGGGTGTCCATCGAAGCTCGATGTCTAAAATTATCCCTCGCTTGTTGGAATTTCCTAAGATCGTCTGGGGAATTTGCACGAGCAGCTACTGTTTTACCGAAATTGACGAAATTGTTCGTTAGGTTCCCGAAGAGGAGTGCCATGAGTGGCTAATGAATCCATAGGGGAAGATACGGAAGTGAAAGAAGTGAGCGTCGAATGATTGTTTGGTGTTGGGGGTATGTGGGGGGGTGGTAATGATGGGGGTGGGGTGTATCCAGGCAAAAGAAAAAGAAAAAGAGCAGTACGTTTAAACGACAGATAGCACGAACACGGGTATTCTACATACCTGAGCAGCACCCGCAGCAAGAGCACAAAGGATCCCGATAAAATCCAAGAACAATTCCCATCTGGTAGAAAAACGAAAGAGCGCGAAAAACGAAACAGGTCCAGCCTCCGTATTGTTATCCCCTAGCCCCCCTTTACCCTTGAGATCAATAACGGATACTTCAACATGATCAACACTATCAACCGCCGCCGCGACCCTCCTCTCATCGTGGTTATTATCAGGGCTCCGAGAGGAAATTGGAGTTTCAGTTGCAGTGGTAGGTATGGATCGGGTGGGTGATAGCTGTAGACTGGACATTTCGATGGAGCCAGCGCTGGACATCCTCACCGCCGATGTAGCCATGGTTGCGTCTTGTTCCCCTTTTAAACCGGAAGCTGCTCAAGGAACACTGTAGCGGGGAGCAGGAGGAAACTAGTTCCCTCATCCAGCTCCATAATCCGTTGATGCGGCCAGGGCGACTCGATATTGAGACTTGTTGCAAGGCCCCTTGCCATGCCCGGCGCGGTTCGTTCCGGACCGTGGGTTTGCTTGCGCGGGCCCCGAAGCAGGTATGACATTGACAGGAAGAACTGGAACTTCCCAAGCAGGAAACCCATTTACGTAATTATGCCTCCAACGTAAAATTTACTGACGAGGACTTCTCTGCACGATCGAGCGCAAGAGACCAACCAAACCAATTACGCTGAAAGATAAGTATTACTTCCCGTACATGTGCCCGCTTACAATTAATTCATATGTGTCCCGGCACAAGTCGGTGGGCGAAAACAGCCGACTTTTCTAATTCTGATCTCCAACTCCGTACGTCAAGCGACTGGAAGATTGGTCTCCCGACAAGTCGATCGGGGATCATCAGTCCTTCATGCTTGAAACCGGAAAACCCCGGCCAACTGCCTTCAGGTTCTACACCAGACTCCAGAGCTCAACCGCAGCGTGCTTAATTCGTGTCGACAGGTTCCCCATGGAAAACTCCCGCTGATTGAATTGAGATATGATGCCTTCCGCGTCAAGACACTCTCCACGCAAATCCGGATCAAAAATTCAAGCCAGATCCACGCCTCCCTCCTATTGAAGAAAATGGGGCGAGGACCTGAACAGCTCTCTTCCGAGTGCACTGGTCATCAAACAAACAAGTTGAGCTCCGAATGGTTTCAAAAAACCGTTCCCTTCAGAATCGACAACATATATTTCAGTCGAGTTCACGGCGCCTTTGTAAGTTGGTAGAGTGGAATCAGATACCCGAATCGGCCAAGTGGCACCGCAATACTTTCTAGACTCAATCATGACCATTTCCTGATGCGTAGCTGCCTGGAGCACATCCCGTTGGCCGCGCGCCATCCTTCTACCAGGGAAGCAGTGGGGATCGAGACCCTGTGAGAACTATTTGGCGCCCAATACTTAACCTCTCCCAACGACCGAACCGATGTTATTTTTGAGACAGATTCCCGATGCCGTTCAACAGTTATGAGGCCTAGCCACAGTTAGAGGAACGAGAATCTAGCGATTTTCCGCTGAGCTTTCCGGGAATTAGGTCTGTGCGTTGTCCTGGATGAGGCTATAACCACCCGCAGGAAAAGAGCCATTCCAGGCATTGGATACTGAATAGTGAAGGTGAAGGCTTTTGGCATTCCACCACAATCGAAATAACGAGCTTTACGAAATGCTCATCTCCATATAAGTCACACCTCGAATCGTTCACATCCACTTTTCTCGTTCCCTTAGCCTCAGTGTCTCAGTCTAAACGTCTCTCCAATCGGCATGTTGAGCGCAATGGACAGTATTGTATCATTCCTTCCACGTCTCCAGCTGCAACTGTACTTACCGCTTTTTTGCCCTAAGAAAGCCCCCTCCGAGTCATCCCTTCGGACTCGACCTCCGCTGATCCTGGAACGTGCACAGGCATCGCTCCTGTATTAAGTCAATGCACTTCCTGGATACTCGCGGATATCCTCCGCGTCCCCACAATCGTGGTGGTGTGCCACACACCTGCCTGACACCAGCCAGGAAATTGGTTGGGATCGATAAGGCCCATATGGGATTAATGTGAGGAGCAACGCTCAGCCCGAGCTTGGGACGGCAGACGTTGATTTTGATAGTGGAATGGCGCCATTGAAACATTGGCATCGGCATGAGTACCCAATAAATTCAGTTTCACTCCAACATCTCCTCTTTCAAATCTTCCCTGAACGTGCACGGGAATCTAAGGTCAAATCGGCAAAAAACTATCCGAAGCAGAGGTAGAATTAGGACTTTCAGGACCGCGAGAGTACGGTTGCCGCTCCCCAATATCATTCGCCGTATCATAAATACCCCTGGAACGTTGCAATGTGCTCACATGCTGGGAATGGATTATAGAATTAATTGGAGTCTATGACTCTGCATGGGCCACGCAAGCAGCCTATTTCGCGCGCAACTAGCCATTGCTCTGTCAATTCCTCTGATACTCTTGTGGTCGAGATTTCGGAACAGAGGGCCGGTAACTCTCTAGATTTGTCTCTGCCGCAATTTCGCCAAACCTAAAAGCTGACATATTTTCCAGACTTTTACTTTCCGACCACAAAGCTTCGCGGGTTGTCTTTTCCGGGCATCAGGTGGCCAGGAAGCTGTCATTTACTTCAACCAACGTTAACATTGCGGTCCTACACGCAACGCTATATAAGCCAGTATGACTCTTGATTCACTCCGTCACAAAATGAAGACATTAACCGAGGAAAGAGGAATTACGGACATTCATTATGGTATTAAACAATCTGGCTGATGTCGACAATGATTGGGGCTTTCATCTTTCCCTGGATAAGAAATCGAGTTCCATCTTTACTAGCCTGGGGAAGGTAAAACCTGTATTGCGTAGCGTCATTAGGGGGTTTCACGATGAGCTAAAGTGGTCCTAAACTGGGATGTAAACTAGACTTAAAGTGACCCGAGTTGAGGGACAGTTAAGAGTTCAGTTTAGATGGGAGTTGAGAAGCATTCACGATGGACTGTCCCAAACTAGTCCCAAACCCGCCCAACACTTGAGGCCACAGCTGGCTCCTTATCACCGACACCACGTGGCTCTAAATGGATTATGTAACTCATCGCTGCTGCCGTCCAACATGCTGAACTCATTCAAAGGCCAATGATGCCGACTCTTTGGTGGCATGTGGAAACTATTTCTGCACACTGGGCCCCTGGTATATCAAGCATCGGCACTTTGGAGTAGGGTGAGAGTGATCTCCCTGTTGGATTATGAGTCACCAGCTGCTTCAGCGATTCCACCTCCATTGTAATCCGGTCTCTCCGATGCATCTGTGCACTATCCAACCCTTTGCATGGTATCATATATACACCTAATAATATTTGTCACTTATGGCCACTGCCCTTTGCAGTCCCACTTAAGTCCCCCACTATAGTGCAAGTGTAGCCGCTGAGCGCTAACACCTTACCAGGCTAGTCATAGCAACACTCCCTGAACCCACTTTGGAGGCACAAGTTATGAGCAATAGCTTGAATTCACAGTCGGTAGCTAAGTTGATGGCATGATGTGGTGGGGTGGGGTTGACTGCAACAACGGTGCTGATAGTGACGGAGAGACTAATTCAGTGAAGGATCTGTACAGTTATCTGAATGGACATATGTATACTAAGCCCGAGTTTGGGATTTGAGTTTGGACTACTCTATATAGAGAGAACCAAGTTGAGGGCAGCTGGACGAGAATATAGTGGACTCTTAATTAGGAAGGTATTACCACTAAACAATAGTAAATACATGCTTCGAGGTTGTTCCTCCAACACACCCTCTCAAACGAAAGAACATGTAACCATCTAACATGAATCCATGATATAATGAAACCGGTGTGAAGAAATTGACTGAAAAAGAATGGAATAAAATTGAATGGGAATGGAGTGGTGAAGGGAATGTGGAAAGGTGAAATCCAATGGATGCGTGATCAAGGGTGCTAGTCCAATAATCAATGGTGATTGGTTGTCTTCCAAATCTGAGTGGATGCCATGCCAGGCAGTCGGTGGGGTGAGCCTTCTCAGCAATCCCGGGTGTCCAACTTGTCCAAAGTGTGCATGAGAATTAATACGATATTTGAAAGGGGGGGATCACCCTCTGAATCCACAGTGTTCCATGGTAAGGCAGTAAGGGAGTGGCCCCAATGGCCTGCTGGTGCCAGGTGCAAGGTGGGATTGGGTTGCTGCCTTTGAGCACGCGCGATTGGACCGTGGGAAAATGAAAAAATGGTGACGTGGCAAGGAAGGGAAGGGAAATAAGAGTGTTGCATGCCTGTCTGAGGACTTAGAGCAAGGAGAGAAGGGGGGGTGCCAATTACTGCCTTCCAGGACTTCGAAGGGGTGCCAAGTCCGACCTTAAAGATGGGCGCCAGACTGGACTTGTGGGCCCAACACAAAACTTGAATGCCACACACCAGCCTTAACAGTGGGCGCCGGGTTGGACTTTCGAGCCCAAACAAACTTGAATAATTGCCACACACTGGCCTTAATAGTGGGCGCCAGGCTGGACTTCCATGCCCAAAGACAAACTTGAAGGATGCCGCGCACCGGCCTTAACAGTGGGCGCTGGGCTGGACTTTAGTGCCCCAAAACAATGCCGTGTAGGACTTAAAAGGATGCCTGGTGTACAGGACTTAACAAATGCCGCATGGGACTTAAGATACGGGGGATTGCCCCTGCCTCCGCTGAGGACTTATGGAGGTGGTCAACTGCACTTTGACCAACTGCCGCGAGAGTCGGGCGGACTTCCTTGATACCTAAGCTTGTCCAGGCGAGCCGCCTGGGCTCATAACCTATAGAGAGAACCAAGTTGAGGGCGGCTGGACGAGAATATAGTGGACTCTTAATTAGGAAGGTATTACCACTAAACAATAGTAAATACATGCTTAGAGGTTGTTCCTCCAACACTCTAAAGTACAGCTTTGGCCTTCAGAGGCCTGTTTTCGAATTTAGCTAAACTGACAGTTTAGAACCAGTTCTGTCCAGTTTAGGTGCAGTTAAGGATCTGTGTTATGGAAATGGGATTTTCCCATTTTTAGCCTCTTATGGGCTCTATGCAGTACAATATCACGTGACATGTAAAGAGTAACAACCTAACCAACTATTATCACCCAAAACACCCGATGTCTATGTTATTGTAAACCCCACTGTTACAACATCTGTTACATTAATTGTAACATCTTCTCAATGTCACGGCCCCCTCCTGCACCCGGACGCTATAGAAATGGGCCAATTAGGCCCCATTTTTATAACAATCTGTCAGGGCACACCTGCCTGACCCGGGTCCACCCGGACCCACCCGGCCACACCACACCCGCTCCCCGCTGCCTATCCCCCTCCCCCCTCCTTCCTCCCTCTCCTTCCCCTTTCTTTATCTCCTTCTTCACTTCTTTCTTCTCACCTTCCTCTTCCTGTTTATTTCTTTCTATCTACATGGATCATCTTTCTTTGTATCGATGTACTATTGACCCATCCGGCTCACACACCCCGGACGGCTTCCCGCTGTGCCCAGCACATGCGCATGCAGCAGACGCTCTCAGGATCCCCCACAGGGACACCCGGATGCCTGCGGCTGCCTCCGAGGATGATGTGGCACTCGTCATGTGACTCAAGCCGCATGTACATAAATGTACCTGAAGTGGGAACCGAAGAAGTAACCTTCTTCTCACATTCTCCACTTCAGGTAAGTAGTATAGTTTCCCCCTTTAATAATAATAACACATTCTCCACTTCAGACTAAGTGGCCAGGGACCGCTGTCCCGGATCGGGCCCGCCAGTATGCATGCCCGCTCCACACCCCGCGACGGCTTCAGTGCCGGACATTACCCCTGGTCCCTCTTGACCCTGGACGCGTCCCTGACAGGATCGGCAGTTTTGGTGCACTTTAGCCCATCGTGAAACCCCCTATTGGGACGCCTATTGTCCACCATATATATATATCAATCACCGCATCGCACTTGGGATCCATGTCGTTGGGAACCACCTCTTGGTTGATTGGTTCGTAATCACATAGAGATAATCAGAAAATGAATTCAGTTCTCCCATTGAGAAAAATCTCCCAGTTGAATACATCGAAGATGGAACAAGTGACAATTAATGGGACTCTTCCTGCTGTGCATGAGTAGACTTTTATCCAATCCCTCCATTCAGATGGGAGGTGAAGGTCATAAAAAGGGCACTTCAGCCAGGATTCATCTGAGCCGTGCCTGGACAATGACGAGTCGGAAGTTTGTCCACAGTTCATATCCATTTCCAGGACCAAAGGAATGGCAGATCGAAGGGTCATGGGGTTGGGGATGGAATATGAGCAATGGGGGGCAACTCCAGTATTGATGATCCACTTGTTGAAACTTTGCACGCAAAATTGTGCGATCAATTCACCTGAATATGTTGACCAGACAAAAGAATCATGTGCATCGTAAGCGCAGACATATCGGCCTCCAGGAGAGAATCCAAGCGAGTGTCGCAAAGGAGAGGAAAAGTATTTGGGAGACTGAGCAGTGGAAGGAGGTGTGAGAAGCTGAATGAATTGGTTGTCCAAGACACACAAGAGTGTTGTGTTCTCATACCAAACATCTTTAAAATTTCATGGGACTCGTACAATAAAACATCCATTGTCCGACACTGCAGTTAGAGGAAGGTAATGACTACTGGGAAGAATGCCAAGGTTTACTGCAGGCATTTCATGGCGGAAAATGGTAGTGTTTCCTTGAGTATCTTCAGTGACAATGTGGGCATTACCGCCTTGGATAAATTCAATCCAAACAGGAGGAATGGAAGAATCGCTGTGGAATTGACAGATTGTGCACTGATTGTCAATGTCAGCTACTTCGATAATACCACTTCCAAATCCAAGCGCTACATGATGGCCATCTCTTGAGAGCGCTGCACAGGTCACAATGCCATTGCGAACATTGTTGTTAAGAAACTCGGCTTTATAATTGGTCTCCCATCTACAGTTCTTCGGCAATTTAGGTAGCTCCACCTCCATCACCCTTCGAGCTCCATGTGCCTCATCGGTGTAGGAGAAATAATATTCAAAGAATAAAACAATGATCTATCAGAATAGTCAACGAACAGGTGACAAGTTCAGACGTTTAACAGATCTCATGATCTTTATGAGACTGGACAGACATTAGATCATTATAAATTATCTACACCCATGTAGTATGAGATTTAATCTACTACAATCATGCCTAGAACTTGGCATAGGTGTAATATTCAAAGAATATAACCCTACAACAAGAAAATAGCACATAGACGGCAGAATAAGAAGGAACATTGGGAAAGAAATGTAAATATCTCGGGAACCAGTAAACTTTTGACTGTAATCTTTTTACCATCTGAAAGGACTGTTTCTTAACTTTATCCACGGTTTTGTTTCATTCTAAAAGCTTCAAAACTGACGGAGATATCGCTCAAACGGCGAAACACCTTATAATTCATATATATTTATTTGCTAATTCTTACAAAAAGTAATGTGACTCAAGGGAAATATAATGGCGCCCGGAAGTCTGGCGGACCGAATACCATATGATAGAGTATTCCCCGGCGCGGGCGGACAGTTTTTGATCGCATCAGAAGAGGAGAAAATGCTAAAAAACCGGATCTTGTATATTTTCCCATGATTCATCAAAACTCCCCGATTTTAAGCTCAAATAAATCGGAACAAAGGAATGATTAATGATCTGGATCTCGGATCATAAGCACGAAGTAATTCAGAAGTCCGCGGATCAGTTAATTAATTGGGAAGGCTCTAGAACATTAGTAATGATGTGGCTTCACAAAAAGGGGTCAATTAGAGAACAGTCTAGAAAGTTCCTTTATAGCCGAGTCATTTCTAAAGATAACCGTCCGTAATTAAGGCGGTGTAGAGCATAGCTTCAGCGCTACAAGATCCCGCTAAGATCGGCCCAAAAGACAAAGAAATGAATTACTTATTGCTGAGTCATGTCCTAAGTCCATTATTAAGCTTACACAGCCCAAGCCCCTATATCATTCTAGAACTATCTATAATACAAATGTAGCACATGTAACTAGTGCGAGGCGTGGGAGCAGAGAGGCCTCTGAAAAGCATAAAAGGACACCGCTTCTGCCCCCTCTCAAACCTCAGGTAGAAATAAAAGTTTAATTCTCCTCACCAGTGGTTGGTTCGTTTGCTCCAAAAGATAAAAGCAAATATTAGTTGTTAGCTAATATAAAACTAACACGTCACTCTAAGCGTGAGTTAGGGTCAGTTAGACACAGCTGAACAAAAGTGTCATAGTGAGAATTAGTGAGAATTTGGTGGAGGGACTTCTTAATTGAATAATCTCTCAGCAATACTTGGTTATCACACCACAGGAGAAAAGTGAGCGATCCTGAACCTGCTAGATAACTAGCACGCACTCTAAGCGATAGAAAGAGCAGTTTGGTCACTCCTGTATTGAGTAACATTTATTGCGGAATTATTTTATTAGCAGTTTTCCTTCAGTAAATTATCAGGAAAATCACATCCTACTGAAAAGTGGTAAATATAGGTGTAATATTGACTAGAAATCATAGTAAAGTCAATATAGAATTTTATCCGTAGACGATCTATACATCAGGTGAGATCGTTGGGGGGTGTTTATTGTTGTTTAGACAGTGAACAATCATATATTTGGCAACCAAAACACGGTCAGTACGCAAATCAGCACAAACTCTAATATCGTTATTGGACGTAGGAAACTGGTTACATAAGGTGATCCAGCTCCGCTCCTTCATCGGATAAAGGAATTAAGCCACCGGCGAACTTGCTGGAGACACTGAACACTCGAACAGGGTCTGAGAGATGACCATAATATTTGTACACGGGTGATGACATTGGAGAGAATGGAAGGCCAGATTGATAAGCATGCCATGGGGAACTGTGAAAGAATTTCCAAGCATCATGGATGACAGAGATTGACTTGTGATTCTTCTGTAAAACAAAGTGACGTCACTGCATTGAAACACAATTCATTTGCGGCTTCACCTCAAAATCATTCCAATCATCAGGAATATTGTTACCTCCTGCTCGGAAGAACGAGATCAAGTTTTTGTGTCCAAAATTGTTCAAATTCTCTCTGCAATTCATTAGACTCTTGTGAAAAGAGGAGCAAAGGGTCCAAGTGTTGGAACAGGTGTGTAAGCACATAGTTGACATGCTTGGGTGCCGGAGTGTTGTTCCTAGACTTCCACTTTTCTTCATCTCCCAAAGGAAGTTCAGTGGGGAGACCGAACTCATTCCTTTTAATGACACCATTCATACACCAGAGGAGCTGCAACCCAATTGAATACCCTTTCTTGCCAATCGGAATCCCGGTGATGAATTCCTTCACTGTTGCGTGGGAAAATTTGACAGGCCCTTTTTTCGCTGAAGGTATATCAATTATTGAGCTAAGGGGCTTGAGTATCGAGTGCACTTCATGCTCAGGAATCGTTCCAAGGAGCTGTGATAGGTCATACATGCTGAGTTTCCTCTGTGCAACAATCCAATACGATCACTGGGTGACCCTTTTCTGAAGACAATACACCCCCAAGTTCACGCATAGGGTTGATGATCCAAGCTTTCACCTCTTTCTCTAGAGGAGAACCATCAATACTGCTGAATAAAGCGGGATCCCGAAGTTGCCTGATAAGCGAGTTCTGATACTCGGCATTGAATGCCGCAAGCTGTTGGGCAAGGGTGGAGGGGAAGCGTGATATCGAATCGAGTCCTGTTCCCTCTTGGTTCTTATCCCAGAAGAAGGATGCTGCAAGGGTGTGCTGCTTGTCAAGCGTGGAAGCTACACTCATAGATATCGCAGTTTTCCCCATCCCAGGCGAACCACGCAGCCAGACAAATCAATTCTTAGGATCCCTCAGGTACTTGAGAATTGAGCTGCGGATTATCTCCCGAGTAGTTTTGGGGCTTTCTGACTTGCTCTCCACACAATAATATTCGGCATCTAATTTGGGCAGTTTTGAAAGCTCGTCTGAAAATGGCACTCAGATAAAGAGTCTAGAATCAAGCCAAAAGGACGAACAATCCACTGACACCTGAATCGTATGGAGAAGGTTTAAAGTTGTTGCCACCAGCTATAGAGAATGCTCTATTAGTTGAAGTCTATCGGCATAAATACCGATCTTGCGAACTGCAAACTGGGAGAGAGCTTCACTAATACACGTCCTCACACCATTTATGCTTTGCACTAAAGAGCCTGCCATGAATATTTTCCTCAAAGGCTTTCGATTCTGACTCTCGAGCGACTTGATCCTCTTTACCTGGTCTTCTAGGGCCCTGTCAACAATTTTTCAAATCTGAATGAAAGATCGGAACGGCAGCCACATACAAGTGTAAATCCTTGAGTGGGGAAATTACTTTGGGAGGAATGTGTCCCGTCCATAGCTGGAGGGGGTGCAGAATCATGTTATATGCATTTTGTACATCATCACTCAGCCCTTTGAAAGCTTCATTATTACCAGTAACATTCTACGTGAATGAAGCAAACATTAGGGATATATCATTACTAGTTGTGGAATGCCGAACCTCGTAAACCTGAAGCAGTTGTTGTTCTTGTTGTACTCTATTTTGTTACCCTGCAGCTGTGTTTGTACGTGGCAGTGCGGCTAGCCCGACTAATAATTACATCTGCATGTACATGAGGGGCTCGTCAATACAAGGTAGGGTTGTCTGGTTGGTGTGGTCGGGGTGACGGGGTCCTCTGGGTTGTGATGTCTGGGTTTAAGTCTTATCTGGGTATGCGTGGGGGTGTAGTGATGTCTATGTCACTCCTCTCTCCCTACGGGGGGTTACTGGTTGGGTACTCCTGTTTCCTGTTCCCCCGTTCGGAGTCGTTGTTATAAAAATGGGGCCTAATTGGCCCATTTCTATAGCGTCCGGGTGCAGGAGGGGGCCGTGACATTGAGAAGCTGTTACAATTAATGTAACAGATGTTGTAACAGTGGGGTTTACAATAACATGGACATCGGGTGTTTTGGGTGATAATAGCTGGTTCTTGTTGTTAATATTTACATATCACGTGACTTTGTACTGTACAGAGCCCATAAGAGGCTAGAAATGGGAAATTCCCATTTCCATAACAGTCGTTCTCTGTCTGTTCTTTTTGTTGATGGCCTGCGACTTCTTGATGAAGTCTGCTAGTCTAAGAATGCCTTTGGGCTTCCCCATAAGGGTCAAAAACCTGTTCTGATGGCCCTGGCCCAGTACGTGTCTATGTTTCTTAAACTGTGGGCATACCTGAAGGATGTGCTCTCTCATCTGGTTAGCTGCTCCACATGTGCACTCTCTACTCTCTGTGTGAATACCGAACTGGTGGTAGTATTCGCCCAGGTGTGCGTGGCTGGTGCGGAACTGGACCAGCCTGCTGAAGGTTTTTCGGTCCAGCAATTTGAACCTGGTGGTGGGTTTGATCGATGGGGGTGCTGTGTGGGATCCTGATCGGATCGGGGTGGGTGTGCTTGCCCAGTGTTCCTTCCAATCTTCTTCCATATATATAATATATAATAATAATAATAATCTCATATCTCATATCTCATATATATAATAAAGTCAGGTTGAATATATTGTTCTATTCAGTTTTTGTACTAGAGACCTTTAACCTGTGGGGTGCTCGTTCCTCGCACACACACGCATTTAGCAGTCTCTAGCTCCTGCGGAGGGCATCGGGGCTGTGCCCCGAACCCCCCTGGGGCATTGCCCCAGACCCCATTGGGGCACCACCCCATGCAACGACATCCTTGTTATTATTGTTCCCCATGTGCTAAAGAAATAATGAGATATATGGTGATTATTTATGCACCAAGGGGCCAGCCCCTTGAACCCCAGCTCCTGCAGAGAGCTATTGGGGCATTGCCCCAAGCCCCACTCCTGCGGAGAGCCTGGGGCTGCGCCCCAAACCCCCTGGATATATTTGATTATTTTTTACACCAAGGGGCCAGCCCCTTGAACCCCTGCTCCTGCGGAGGGCCATCAGGGCGCTGCCCTGAACCCCACTCCTGCGGAGAGCCTTGGGGCTGCACCCCAAACCCCACTCCATTAATCATGCACAGGAATGAGAAACACCTTCCCCAATCCAGGAGTGGATTGTTTTTCTTCATTTTCTGGCCATTTCTCCAAACCCACCACCCCAACCACTCCCCATCACATGAAATTCCTTGTGAGTTTATAAAACAGTGTTCCCCATGTTGCTGTGAATTTTCTTGATTTTATTTTATAGAGAGCACCTTACTTTTATTTTTATTCTATACTGTCCCATGTTGCCATGAATTTTCTGGATTTTAATTTGCATAGAATACCTTGGTATCATTTTTCTTGGTTTTCCCCCATTGCCGCAATTTTTTCAGATTTTATTCTATATAGAATACCTTGTTTTGGATGTTTCTATTTCATGTTGTCCCATGTTGCCATGAATTTTTCGAATTTTTACCTTATCTGGAACCTTAGTTTATTTTGGTTCTGTTGTTGGAAACTCCGGATTTTAACTTATTTACTTTCTATTTATTTATTTTACATGCGAAAATACAAAGAAAAAAACAATACTACCATTTATTGTACATGCCAATTTTCGACAAAAAAACAATAACTAATACAACAAAAATACTACTACTACTACTATTACTATAATTATTTATTCATTTACTATTTACTACTATTATTATTATTATTATTATTATTTACGACTATTATGACCTATTTATCTACCTATTTTATCTACCTATATTTACCTATCTATTTCATCTATTTTACATGCCAAAGTCACATGGGAACAAAAAGGAATTGCTCCCATGGGGGGGTGTAAACTGGTTTTGAGTGGGGGTATTAGTACTTTTTTGCATATGTCTGTGCGCGAAAAAAGTTGTGGGAGGTTAAACTCATTACTCACGTGAATTTCCTTAAACTAAACATATACACATGATTCTTTACATAAATCTATCATATCTCTGTCAGTTCTCATCCGTTTCTCCTCGGGTTTTTTTCAATGGGCGCGTCTTAATGTCCTGTACATGTTGTATTATTAGTCCGACTCGTCGTTAGGCCATCCTGAGGAGATTATGGCGATTTTCTTATTTCCCACACAAAACTGTATGGTATTATTCTTATATCTCGCTTAATACTGGACCAAACGTTTTATAATTTTGCATACCACTATATATATTATTAACGCAACTATTCCATATTTCTATATATTTTTTATGACGTCTGTGAGGCACTGGGAGCGTTTTCCCACGCACAGATCATGCGCGGAGCTGACACTGTATTCTTATCTCTGTCAGTTCCTCCTTGTTTCTCTTCGGATCTTTTTCAATGGGCGCGTGTCAATGCCCTCTACAATGTTTGTTATTACCCAAACTTGATATTTTGCGATCTTGAGGGTGCCAAGTGAAATTGAATAGAATAATTTGTCATATCTCGCTTGATACTGGACCAAATGCTCTGTAATTTTTCATGCTATTTTATATACTATCAACGCAAGTATGGCATATTTTTACATATTTTTAAAACATCTGTGAGGCGCTGGAGACCGTTTCCCACGCACAGATCATCCGCGGAGGTGGCACTGGATTGGTATCTCCGTCAGTTCCTATTCGTTTCTCTTCGAATTTTTTTCAACGGGCGCGTATTAACTCCCTCTATAATGTGTATTATTACCTCAACTTGATATTCTGCGATCTTGAGGGTGCCAAGTAAAATTTAATGGAATAATTTATCATATCTCGCTTGCTACAGCACCAAATGTCCTGGAATTTTGCGAACCATTCTATATAGTATTAACGCAGGTACCTAATATTTTTTCATATTTCTAAAACATCTGTAGGGTGCTGGGGACCGTTTCCCATGCACAGATCAGCCGCGGAGCTGACACTGGATTGGTATCTCCCTCAGTTCTTGACCGTTTTCCGTCGGGTTTTTTTCAATGGGCTCGTACTACCTTCACTTCCATTTGTTATTGTTGGTGAAAGTCGTGAATCAGCGTGAATGAGGAGGGGGAACGTTTTTTCCACAAATAAAGCATGTAGATTAGTATCTCTCTCAATTTTGATTTGTCTTTCGTCGGGTTTCTTTTAATGGGCCCGTACTAACCCTCTGGCCATTTTCTACTATTGGCGCAAGTCGCGAATAAGCGTTCATGAGGCAGTGGAACGGTTTTTCACAATTTTTCACAAAAAAAAGCATATACATTCGTATCTCTGTCAATTATCATTTGTTTTTCACCGTTTTTTTTGTACATACTTGTAACAATGCCTTCATTATCTTATACTATTGGCGTTAATCGCGAATGGGGGTCTATGAGGCAGTGGAACGTTTTTTCACATTGAAACAGCTCCCACGGCTCAGAGAACTGCATTGCTTACGTTAATTAAACTGAATAGGACAATACAAAAACTGAATAGAACATATATACTTATATATATATTATATTATATTATATATCTATATCTATCTATCTATATCTATATCTACAATCTACAATCTACAATCTATATATATAATAAATAAAGTATATAATAAAGTCAGGTTGAATATATGGTTCTATTCAGTTTTTGTATTGTCCTATTCAGTTTAATTAACGTAAGCAATGCAGTTCTCTGAGCCGTGGGACCTGTTTCAATGTTAACAATTGTACTAGATGACCTATCATGGTGTAATAATAAAAGATGGAGAGGTCGTTTGAGCGATTCCATTGCAAAAGACCCGATGGAAAACGGTTGAGAATTGAGGGAGATACGAGTGGTGGCCCATCCCAGCGCGAGGTGTGTGCGTGGGAAACAGTGGCCACGGCCTCAAACAGGATGTTTGACGATGTGCGCTAATAATATTAGATGGAGGGGCCGTTAA